GGGCTGGCACAGCCAGAGGGCCGGGGTGCTTCACCCTCACTGCCAGCTACGAGGTCCTGTCATTTTGTGTGTGAGTGAGGAGACGGGGCGAGTGGAGCCTGAGTGTGGAGAGGTCCCTTCACCACGCCATTCGGAGGTGGAGGGGCTGGATGTAAGACCTCCCTGCCTGTGAGGCTGGGCTTGGTGAACCCTCCATCTGAACTGACAAGGCTGTTCCTAAATTCTTGTCCTGACTCTGAACATCTCCTGTCCATCTTGCTGTTGGGAAAACCACCTGATTTCTATGCCTCCTCTGTAAAGGGAGGAGGGTAACAGTTTTGACTTGCTTGTAAGCTCCTCTGGGCAGGGAGAAATGGCTCTTTACATAAAGGAACCATCATAATGAGGGTCTTGACGCAGACCGCACAGTAGCTTGCTGGATCCAAGTGCTAAATAGAACACCAAATAATGTGTTGAACTTAAAAAGTCCTGCAGCTTTCTTAATTTTTCTGGCTTTCAATTGTAAGGCACTCTCTAATAGCAACAGTTAACAAACCATCCTTGCTCCCAATCATGGGCTGGATCTCAAAAACTCTCCAAGGAAAAGTTTCCGTAAGACACCCAAATCTCTCAACCATGCTCTGCAGTCTCTGAGCCATCGCTTCTCCAACACTGTTCTTGGACTCACCATTTCCTCTCCTCTTCCTTGCCATTTATCCTAACCCGCTGACTGCCCCGCATACCAGACTAGTTAAATTTACCTTCACCCACAGCCTCAAAGGCGTGCCCTCACACCACTGATGCTGGTTAGCGCTCAGCTGTGCATGACCTGGGGGCCTCAGGGAGAGTCGGTCTGCCCCTTCATGCCCATGTGTGTCACACCCCGCCCAACAGAGGAAACAAAGCCACAGCCCATTTGCTCCAGACACACTCCTCCCTCAGACCCATGTGGAGAATATGGCTACACAGACCTCACCCTTCTCTCTGCTGTGCTGTGTAGCATTTACTGGGGTTGCAACAATTAAGGATCTTTGATAAGATTTGCTTATATAAACATGACGATTAGTGAAGCATAGACATGGAAGTAGATTAGATGAGATTACTAGCTAGGGCTCTGTTCTCATGCACGAGTGGCCTTCTCCAATTAATTTTTTGACGTTACATCTTAAATTGATTCTCTTTCCTCACGGTCCTGCCTTGTTCCAAGAGGTGTCCAGCTGGTAAAATTGTTCGAAGGGCTTGCTGGCTGTGGGTTACTAATCATCCCTACAAACATGCTGTTAGCGAAATCCCTTTAACATGAGAAACCAAGACCTGTGCACTGGCCTGTAACTCCAGGTACTCCTTTAATTAACACAAAGTTCTGGGCACGGGCCAACAAGAAAGTGCTATTTTCCAGTGAATGCATTAAGTACCCTCCAGGCACACCGTGAGAGCAGGCAGAGCACTCTCCTGCTCTGGTGTGCGGCAGTGACGGTCTTGCTGCCGGCACGTGCACAGCCAGGCTGAGCACAGGAGGAAAAGGGGGATACAGAAAGAGGCAGAGGGTTATAAAGTTCTGGTGGGGAGGGACTCCACTATCCCCAGTGTCAGGGGCACCCCCTGGTACAGGGAACCGCTGCAAAAATTAAAAGCAAAATACAAGTGGGTTTATTTTTCAATAGTTCCATGACCTGCAAGGTGTAGTCCTGGTCCTAGGACTACTGTCTCACAAAACTCTGAAAAGATATTATTAGTCAAGCATTCTCTACCCAGCCAACCATTACCAGTGCCGTACCGGTTCCGCAAGCCACAAAGCAAAACTCTGTGCAATTTTCTCTTTCAGCTCATACTCCTAATGACTTATTTTAGGCATCTACTTTCACTGGAGGTATCATAAGATTTCTGTTTGTCATGTACAAAGGCATATTTCCAACATGGGAGGGCTGTTCTCGTGTTTTCTAATAGCATCTCCAGGTCAAGTTACTTGCCTGTGAAATACGGATCCCAGGGTCAGCAGACTTCAGCACAACTGACTTACAGGGTGTCTAAGTTAAAGACACGCTCTGGTAAATGTTTCTTGCTCTCAGCAGTACACCACACAAACTAGAGCAAAGGGAGATCTAAAGTCAATGGGGTCTTTGCAAGATAAGGAGTGAGAACCAAGAGCATTTCAAAAAGCAAACCCAGATTTTAATTCCTCGGGAAAAACATATCTCAACGTATTTTAGCTGAAGGCCTTAACAAAAGCATTAAGGCCAAAATCAGTGCAAGTTTGTTCTGCTTATTATGTAAAGCATACACTCTGTGAACACACATTACAGGCTGCTTTCAGTGATGAATGAAAATCACCAGGAACTTCTACTTTATCACAGCTCATTGCAGGCCACTGCAGCTGTAGCTCCCTTGACGACTTGGGCTAGCTCAAGACCCTCAGCAGGTTCCCCTCAGGTGACTGAACTGATCTAACAGCACGCTGCTACTGAAAGGGGCTGTCCCACTCCTTCATCACCCTCGCTCCAAGCTATAGCAGCAGCAGGCAGCAGCCCTGATCTTCGCTTGTGCTAGCCCCAGCACTCATGGAACTGCTCAATGAGACAGTTCCGTTCACTACATGAGCAGGAAATCACTCTTTTATTTGCAGCGTTTCGCTTCTGTGAGTTTGAGTTTAAACTGCAGTGGTAAGCCGAGATAGGAGGCAGACCAACGGTAAGCAACTGAGGCAAAGAAAGTGCATCCTCTGACACACAAACCTTACCAGGCACATACACCGTGTCCTGGTTTTGGATAGAGCTAATTTTTTTCTTCTTAGCTGCTAGAATAGTGCTGCGGTTTGGATTCAGTATGGGATTTGGTATGAGAAGAATGTTGATAATGCACTGATGTTTTTAGCTGTTGCTAAGAGATCAAGGACTTTTCAGCTTCCCCTGTCCCACTAGCACACAGGTACACACAAAGCTGGGAGGGAGCACGGCCAGAGCAACAGACCCAAATTGGCCAATGGAATATTCCATTCCATGTAACATCATGCTCAGTATATAGATGAGGGTTGATCGTGAAGCTCGCTCTTGTTTCCATGCAAAGCTAAGCAGCAGTACCTGTTCTCTGGTAGTAAGATCTTCTGACTTCGCCAGGAATTTCTGCTTCTAACACCTGGATCACAGTTGTGATTTTGAAGGGAATTCAGGGAGTCACGGAAGAAGGAGCGAGGGGAAGTTAATCTGTCTGTACATGGCAGAAGTTCTAGCAGAAAGCTTTTGTCAGCTCAGTAAGAAGCAGCAGAGAGCAGGTAAGCTTTACATCTGCAAAGAGTACGTGCAGAAAGAACACGGCAGGACATAGTCGTGCCAAGATGACTGTCCATGTCCTGTGACGGGTCACGGTGTCTCTGAATCAGCTCAAACCAACTGAGGAATTCCAAGGGGTGTCATAGAAGGCAACTAGACTCCCTTCACTAGGTGTAACTATTGTCAAAGTAGTGAAAAGCTAGTAAAATTACTGCTCCATTTTTAAAGTAGATGCATTTAAAAAATCTTTTGGAGTCAGACAGAAAAGTAAACATTCGGCTTACTTCCTCAGAACTGGAGTTGCTGTTACATTTCAATTGTATTGTTAGGCCACAATGTAGTGAGCACCTGTGCTTGCCAGCAGTCCTATGGACTACGACTGGGGCTGTGAACACTATGTGAAATAAACATATTTGTAAAATGTTTCAAGGAATTCCAAAATATCCAAGAGACAAATTTTACTTGTAATACACCAAGTCCTCAGCCTTGTTTTCCGTATCAATGAGTGAGTTTGCTTTCCTGCTGTGACTTTCAGACCAGACCACCACTTTTGTTGCAAATGCTGATCAGGCTGGATAGTATCAGTCTTCTGCATGCATTACTAATTCCACTTCAAAAATTCCAATTCGCTTGGTTCAAATTTGCAGCTTCTGGCCCATAGTTCCATGAAGCTTCCCAAAACGATCAGAAAGAATTTGATCCTACCCTCCACTCTGCTTTTAATTGAAATGTATGGTTTTCTTTGCAGCTTATCCAACTTTCATTGAAACTCCTTCAGAACCTGCACCTTCCCGCCTTTGAGCAACTACTTTATTCCAGCACTTGAAGTCACCATAACAAAGGTGTAATTTGGTGTACCAGTGACTAATTGCAGGAAGACCCTTTAGCTTCAAGGCAGGATCCTTATCTTCTCTGCAATCACCTAAGCTTAATCATTAAGCAGTGGCCCAGCAAGCCCTTCTGTCCCGCCTGCCTTCAGCCATCTTTTTCCCCCAATGACACCTCTGCAGTCTGTCACACCCTTTAGCCGTGTGCTTTGACGTCCGTCAGAGGCTTCGCAGTTCCCTCCGACCACCGGCTAAACGGCCTTTCTTCTGCTCTCAGCTTCCTCTGGCGACCCCCCCGACGGCCGCACCACACTGCACAACAGGAGGAGGGCGCAGCTGGGAAATTCGGGCACCGCCGGGGCCGCAGCACGCTCCAGCACCGCGTACTTCACCACTGATGCAACACGCCCGACGGGACACTCGCCAGCCCCTGCGGGCACAAGAAAGGCCTCCGGTTCCCGCAGGGCTGTGCCCGTCCCGCCGCGGGACGCTCAGTCCCCGGGGGGGGGGGGGGGGGGGGGGGGCGGAAAGCCGGCGCGTCTGTCCCTGTGTCCGTCCTCCCCCAGCACCACCTCCCGGCCTCCCGCGGTTGAACAGCACCGCGTTCCCCTCAGCCCCGGCCCAGGACAAGGCTCCGGCCGCGGCGGACACCTGCCCGGGGGGAGAGGGGGAGTTCCCGCCGCCGGGAGGGCTCCTCTAACGGCGCACGCGCCGCGGCGGCACCGCGTGGCACGCGCGCGGGACCCGCGCGCCCCGCCCGCCCCACTGGCGGGGGGGGGGGGGGCGGGGGGGAGAGAGGGAAGGGAGGAGGCGCGCGCCGGTCCCCCAATGAGGGGCTGCCGCGGACCCCCCCGCGCATGCGCAAGGCGCCGCACCGCCCCCCCCCCCCCTCCCGCGGGGCTCGGTGGAAGTGTTTCCGGCGCGGCTGCTGTGACGTGCGCGGTCGGCGCCGGGCTGTCCGGCGGGCGGGCGGGCTGTGGGAGATGGCGGAGTATCTGGCCTCCATCTTCGGAACAGAGAAGGACAAGTGAGTGGCCCATCCCCCCCCGCGCGCCCGCGCCGCGGCTTCGGCGCCCTGGGGCGGGGGGAGCGGGAGTTCGGGGGGGGGGGGAGGCCGGGGGGGGGGGGGGCGGGTTCCGCGGGGCGCGCGGAGGCGCAGCGCCCGCCGGGGCGGCCTGGCCCGGCCGTGGCGGTCTGCCCTCCCTCCCCCTCCCCCCCCCCAATCCCCCGCGGCGGGGGCCGGCGCGTTTCATCCACTCCCGCCTCAGGGCCCTGCAGCACCCTCGGGACTGGGGCGCGCCCCCGGGGTCTCCTCTCCCCCCACACACCCCGTCCGTGTCCGTCCGTCCCCCGCCCCCTTCCCCCCCCCCCCCCCCCCCCCCCCACCGCGCGCTGGAACGTGGCGGCGCGCGGCCGCGGAGGGAAGAGGAAGCGAGGCGGGCGCGCTCTCTCCCCCCCCCCCCCCCCCCCCCCATTCCCCCTTCCCCCGCGCCTCCCCCCATGCCCGCGGAGGCTTCTCCCCTCCCACCCCCACCCCCCTTCCCCCACCCCTCGCTGGAGCGCGCGTGCGCGCGCCGCCGGGGACGGAGGGGGGAGGGGGAGGGCGCTTGCGCGCGCCTCTCGCCGCGTGGGGCCTGCGCGTGCCCGCGCGCCGGCCCCGCCCATGCGCTTCCCTCTCCCCTGCCGGGCCGGGCCGGGTCTGTTCTCCGCGGGGACTTCCACCTCCTCCTCCTCCTCCTCCTCCGCCCCCGGCCGCCATGCGGGTGTGCCCGCGCCTCGTGGCGCGCTGCCGTCCCCCTCCCCGCCCACCCTCCCCCCTCCCCGGCGGCCGCACTTTTCTGGCGGCGGGCGGGAGCGGCCGGGGCCGCTGGGTGCCGAGCTTCCCGCCGCCACCGCCTCCTGCCAGAAAGGGCCTCCTCTTCCCCTTTTGTTCGTGTCTCTGCGCCTCGCAGCAGCCCAAGAGCTTCCGCTCTGCTGCAAGGACAGCGACTGGTTATTTCTCCCCCCTCCCCAGGGTGCGGAGGATTTCCCCGACTGCTGCATCCTGATCCTCAGGCTTCTGCCTGCAGCCTTCCACGCGTCGGGAACGCCTCTAGTTTCTCTGGTTGTTGGAAGCACACTTACAAAACCCTCCTAACGAAAATTTGGTCACCGTCGGCCTGACCAAACCAACGTGTTTTTCCACTCATAAAAATGAAAGGGGGCATCGATGTGCTGCTGGACTAAATTACTCTTGTCAGCCCCTGGCCGTGAGGCTTCTGTTTTCCTTCTACTTTGTAGTGCTACCTGCCGGTTCCAATTCCCTCGTCTGTCAGAAAAGCAGTCTCGGCAGCCTCTCTTGGGCTCTATCACTGTAGCGTCCCTTCTGATATGGTGCATTACAGTTTTAACAGTATTAGTATATGCCACTACAGCAGGCATGAAATTCCTGTACCGGTCTTATTTTCTATTCAAAAAGCAAACAGAACTCTCCAGAAAGTGTTGAAGTTGGAGGCACTACTGGAAATTTTATAGTTAGATACTTTTTTTTGTTTCAGGATAGAGTTCAGAAAAGACAGTAAGTATGTTGTAATGCTAAGTATATACTTCCAAAAACGTAATGAAGAGTAAGCATGCTACGATTTTACAGTAGAATGTTTTGCTAGAGATGAGATATGCTTTAGTACTTTAATGTTTCTCCCCTCCATGAGCTGATGTTGGTTACACAGGATTGTGGAAAGAATTGGTGTTAACTGTGAGCACGGGAATAATAATCTTTCTTCCAGGAGAATTCTTATTTTTACGTACCCATATATAGCCCATAATAGTTTTCTTGCCCTTCAGAATCTTGCATTCAGTTTTCCCAGTCAAGGTAACTAAACTCCTTATGGTTTTCTTTCATCATTCCATGTGAATTACACTTATATGTGACAGTTTTATTGGCATTCCTAAACCGGCATTGTTTTGAAGGTGTCATGAAGTGATAGGTATTTCAAGAAAAGCTTGTGGTTTTAAAAATAAATAATGTTAAATGCTTCCTTTAAATTATTAACTACATTCATGGAAATGGCTTAATTAAATGAATTTATTTTGCTGATGTGTATTCTCTCTATAACATGATTTTTCTCTTACCTGAATTATTTCAAATACTGTGGTGGCAGCCGTCTGAATTACCCTTAGAGTATAACTTTAAACAGGTGGTTTACAAAACATTAGGTAGGTGCAACTGTGTCAGCTTTAAAGCAGGTTATGTTGCTTAGACTAAGGGGCTTGCATGCACTAGGGCACAGCCATGTAGCTCATAGTGTAACTTTTCAGAATGTTTTTCACGTTATTTCCCATCACCCAATGAAACTGATATAAAGACAAGAATGGAGAACCAGAAGGGTAAACCAGCAGTGATGGCTTCTGTCTGTGGTGGTATCATGAATGCACTTTGGGTTTGAGTACTGGGTGAAATTGCTTAGATGACTCGCTGTAAGTTAGGGGTAAGGAGGAATGAATATGAACAGGTTTGCTATAATGATTTCCTGGACTGTTTAGATTTTTTTTTTTTCTGTGTTACTTCTCCACATCAAGATAAAGGCATTTAGTGCATATGTGTTATAGGAATTGCATATTAATGTTTTCTATTCCAATATGTAACTACTTTTTTTTTTTTTCTACTTGCAGGGTCAACTGTTCATTTTATTTCAAAATTGGAGCTTGTCGTCATGGAGACAGATGTTCTCGATTGCACAACAAACCAACATTTAGCCAGGTTTGTTTTCCTTTTGTTTTCTCTTTCTTGTGGAAGTATATTCTTGCTTCTTTAAAACGTAGATTCTCAGATGCAAGTGAATAATTACCAAGCTCCAGATTAATTAGTTCACTTTTGGCCCCAGTTTATATGGGTTCTTGCTTTTTTGGGGGTATTCCATTTACTTCTCCCAGCATTTCTAATTATCTCCTGTCACCCTTAATGGCTGCAGGAAGCGATGCTGTTGTAAGCTTGCCTGTAGTAGAGACCAACCAGTGCTAACTTTCAGGTGAGTGTGCCTTCTCAGTGGTGTTTAGGCACTTAAACCATCCCAGATTTTTTTAATCACAAACAATGGCAGCATGTTCTGCCTATCTCAAAGGTGTGAACATAAGTCTTTTATGTATATAATAGAAGAAAACTAATTCATAAATAAAAACGACTTGTCTGTTGTTCCATTTGCTCTCTGACCCAGGCTCTTAAGTTTTGAGAATAACTTACATACTTCCTTTGAATGTGAAAAAATTGTTTCTTGAAAACAACTTGCCTGGTTGCTGAGGGTGTATATGTCAGTTTTCTTGACAGACTATTTAATCTTTGGCTGTGTGAATATTGTTAGAGACATGATGTGTGACTGCATGTCTGCCAGAAAGGAGAAAAAAAAAAAAAAACCAAAAAACAAAAACAAACAAACAAACCACCAAAAAAACGTGCAGTGGATGATAGGGTTTTTAATATCATTATGAGCTTTATAGTTTCCAGAAATTACATCCCTGGAGAACTATATGCTTTCCCTTTTTCCATCACTGCTGATTGTCAAGGTATACAGATAAATAGATTTCTTTGGGAGTATTGTATATGATGAGTAGTGCCTATAGAAGTTGTTGCATTATCAGCAGTTTTACCTACAAAAGTGAAGTTTACATAGCAGCGAGGTCCTCTGCAAGTTCATTTTAGCTGACTTGGAGCAGAATTGATGAGAATGGTGGGCTGGTGGTGGCTTGGGGAGAATGAGGGAGGCGGGTACTGTCCGTGTGACCGGAGTTCAGAGCAATGGTGCTCGTGAAGTTAAACTTTGTGAGTGCCTGAGTGGGCAGGGGGAGTTCTAGGGGGCTGGTAGGTTGCTGATCAATAGGGACCACTGCTGGTACTTCATCTACGAAAACGGTTTTCCGTTTCTGGGAATTTAATAATTTTTAATGTAAATCTTGTATCTCAAAAAGAATATTGTCCATTTTCAAAACTACTCCATGTTGCTGACCTACATGGAGAGCATGCTGAAATGTGATTGGTTATTTAGAGACCTGAATTTAGGTCATTGGCTGCTAGAAAATATTTCTAAATTAGACAACTTCCATAACAGTTGTCTTTAAGTTTTAAAAAAAAACAAAACAAAGAAACAAAAAAAAACCCAGAAGAAACTACTTCTTTTTTTTTTTTTTTTCCCTTAGAAGAAAACTTCATGGGCATCAACGGTTTCCTCTGTCAGTGCAGCCTTTAGCTTTGCTTTAGAAACTGGGGTTAGGAATGCCAGCTGAAGTGGGTCAGCAGGGCATGTCAAATTCATGCAGTGATGTCTGAGACTGCTACAGCATCGCACCTGGCAGACATGCTGTATTGTAAGATCTCTAACATATCTGTCAGATGTGTAGGTACAGAAATCTTTATTTGTATGCAGATTGATAATCAGCTGTGATAGAAAATAGACCAACAGGTATCTTGCTAAGGCACAATATTTTTATCTTGTGTTGCTATTGCTGGTGCAGCTACTTTGTAGAAGAGCTGTGTTAGGAAAGGTCGTGCAATCCAGGGTGATCAAATTACCACAATCAGCAGAAACACTGTAACTATATGCATGTTTCTGGCTCTCTCCAATTGTAGGCTAAAACATAGTTATTTTAAACCTGGGCCATGGAAGCACAAAGCTTTGGTTGGTATGACCATACCCACTGTAAAACAAGTGTGGTTTTCAAATGTGATGTTAAGGATTTTTTGTACATGCTAAGTGGGCAGCATATGTAGGTATGACATTGCTGGTCCTGTGACTTCTTTAAGCTCTGAATTCTTATTGTGACTAATAATAATGTGTAAGCTAAAATTACTTGGGGATTGCGATTTATATGAACTAACATTGAGCTTGTACTTTAAGTAATCAAATTTCAATTTTTGAGCTGCTTACAGTGATATGGACGTTTGGAATTTTTTTGTAATATTAGTTTACTAACTTAAACATGGTTTGTTTTTTCAGACAACTTGATTTTAAGAAGAACGGTACAAATGTAAGGTTTCAAGTCTGCCTGGGCTAATTCTTCAAGTAAAAAGCAGAAGGGCTAAAAGGATATTGTCCTTATTTGAAGGATCGGAAACATGTGAACCTATGATGCTATTATATTATTTAAACAGAAATTCCACCAAGAAATTCCCGATGCACAAAATGAGATGTAGCTCTTGCCTAAAAACCTTACTGTCTGGTGTAACATTTTAGACTCTGTGGCATTATGTATTATATGCTGTGCACATAACACTGTTTTTTTTCCCCCTAGACTTACAGTAATGAATCTGGTCTTGGAAGCTAGGCATCTCCATAATACCATGTAGCTTGACGTTTTAGGTTACTGGGCCTCACAACTCCCATTTTGAGGATAGCTGTTGAGACAAATGCAGCTCTTTCTTGGTGGTTAATTAAAACTGTTTTCATAATATGATGGTCTGGATGCAATTTTGGAAGATATTCTGCGAATACAAAAGGAAGTCTTAAGAATAAAATATTACTTTTAGCTGTTTGCAAACAAGTTGTCTCTTTGCAATTGTCTATTATATGCACAGCAGCCAGTAGAATTCCCCTTTTTATTTTTTTTCCCCGCAGACCATCTTGATTCAAAACATCTATCGTAACCCCCAAAACAGTGCACAGACGGCTGACGGCTCACACTGTAAGTCCCACAGTTGGAGAAATTTTTTTAAAGAATGGTGTTAAAGAGCCCACTCCTAATTATGAGAAAATAATGTTGGCTTCTGAGCTGCTGACATAAAGCTGTTGCAAACAGGACAAGTGACGGAACTCTTCTTGCGCATAGATCAAGAGCTTGTCAAATGTGTGCAATTCAGAATGCAGAACTGACTGCATAAATTGGACCTGATGCAGATTCTCTCTTGCACTGTAAAGGGAAGCTTGATTGCTGAGTAACGCTGCATTCTTCTTAAAGGGTTAAGCTGCAGACATTTCTCAAATTCTTGATTTAACAAAAAAAAAAAAAAAAAAAAAAAAAGAGATAAAATAAAATAGGTATATGTGACGTACGGTAAGTTTCCCAAAACTGGGTTTTCTTTCATCTTAACTTTTTTAGGAAAATGGAGATTTCATGTTATGCTGTAATTATTGTATTACTTACTTTCCTGGGATTTTGCTACTAAGAAACTATTCAGTAAAACCAAATTCAAACAAATTATTATGCTTGTAATTTTAATACTGTGTTTGGATGCCATCTATTACATATCTGCCTGAAATCATGCAAAACCCCTCTGTAGTAATATTGGTGAGTAAAATTAAAAAAAAAAAATACAATAATGTAGTATCATGAGATCTCTATTACTTTACAGTGTTAGGTTGATTCAGAAAGGTCACCAGCTAAGTGAAAGTTCTCCTTCTTGGGAGAGAATAACCACCTCTCTTTCAGCACAGACTCGGCTAAAGCGACCCTAAAGGAAACCGGTTTCTTGTTAAAATTATTTTCCATAATATAAAGTTGTTGCGTTTTGTATTTCAGACCATTGCCCTCTTGAACATTTACCGTAACCCTCAAAACTCTTCCCAGTCTGCTGACGGTTTGCGCTGTAAGTTCATACAAGTTCCTTCACTGGTTCCCTGGGCTTGATTGTCAGAGCTCAGTGTCGACTTAAGCTGGTCTGCCATTTTAGTTTAACAGATCAAACTGACCACGTTTCATTAAATGTGTCGAAAACAAACACAAAAAAAAAAAAACCCAACCAAACAAAAAACCCCGACTTTTTTGTCCCACTCACCTTCCTCCCTACTCCCAAAACTATGAGGGGAATCTGAATACCATCTATGAAATCAAAAAGGGTTGAAATTTTACTTCCCCTATAAAGCAGTCTTGGTTGCTCTGCTTTTTTCCCGCCGCCTTCCTCCCTGCCAGTTGCCTGCATCCTAGGAATGCTTTTCTGTATGTTTTGTGCTATCTATTAGGTTCCACTGTCTAAAAGAGCAGGACAATGACACGTTGACATCATCCAGAACAAATTCCCTGCTCTGATAAGAGAACTTGAATTTGAAACTTTTTAGACTGCATGCCAAAATTTGTCCTAGGTTAATGCAGCTTCCATTTAGAGTCTACTTTGGAAGAATACACTTTGACTGACAAACGCTTCCCTTCTGGCAGCTGTCCTTTTTGGATAGGTGCATGCTTAAAATTCCTTCCATGCTTTGAAAATTCAAATTCCAAAACCAAGTTGCATATTTACCTAGGAAAATATAACTTTTATTTTTGAGGAGGGGAAGGCATTTGGGTATGGTCATGAACTAATGACTCCTCATGAGGTAGGAATGGACATAAGAAAACACACCTACTATGAGACTGGCAGAAGTTAAATGACCAGGATTGTTGATCGGTGATTACTGATATATCATTGTGATTGAATCATCAATATTAGAATAAGATTTAAAAAAAATAAAAAGTTTTAGGACCAAAAAGGATCGGTGTTATTTTCTAACTAATATTTCTTGTTGAAGTGAATATTGACTGTGTGGTAATAAAGCTTTGTTTGGCTATTCTTTTTTTTTTGACTGTTGGATTATAGACTAGTTCAGATTAGTTACCAGCATTTGATTACACATGCTTTGTGAAATCAGCCACTAAAAAGTCAACACTGTGTCTTCTGCTTCTAAAAGTAATAATGGCCCAATTGAGTAATTTGAGTTTTTTTTGTCATACAATCAAGCTAGATACGTAATGAGCTATGTAAGTTTGTCTAGATGCTTAAACAGTTCTACTGGTTTGTAGGCTTTGTTGTTGCAGATGCTTAGTAGTTAATGCTGTTTCAGTAAACCAAAAAAAAAAAAAAGAAAAAAAAAAAAAAGAAGAACAGTTGGGTATTTCCACTCTGTCCCTAAATTCTCAATGCGCTGGTAACTAATTTGCACAGAGTTACAGCAGTTTGGTCTGTGGCGCTGTTTAGATTGTACAGCTGCAGGAGTCTTGAACAGATTCTCTAGCGTTCTGAATGCTGGTGTCCAACTCTAGTTGTCCTGACACGCGGGTAGCTATTCAACAGAGCCGAACTGTACCTCCTGTGGTAGAGCTGGGGCTCTGTTATCAGTAGGTTTGCTGAAACTCCTGGCTCCCTGGGTTTTTGATATTTGTCCCTACTTAAGTACTGCATGTATTTTAAATGGATAACTCGGGTAGCTATTTAATGCTTTTGTTGTTGTTGCTTAACTGTCTTCCTTTCTATTGCCGTCGTAGAGGATTAACCTTAGTTTTGAACAGCCGTAGTTTCCTGAGTATTTTAATTAGTAATTGGGCTTCTCAAGGTTCAGATACCGGTAGCCCTGGAATATGAATGTTTGTAAAGCCTGTGCATATGTATGCTTCCCACTTTAGAAGGACTTTCAAGTAGTTATTAACTGTTGCTTATGATCTCCTAATTTGACAATGGAATTCTCCTTAAGTTTTTAGCACTTGTGCATCTGGTAAAAAGTAGTTATTCCCAGTGTGGCTCACTGAGCCTCTGTCTGATACCTTTAAAAAAAAAAAAAATTCCTTAGGTACTAGTAAGCTGTTATCAGTGGTGTTGGCAGAACCTTGGGAATATAGTTAAGTATTAAACTGTCTAGAAATACCGGTTTAATGTTTGATATTCCTTAATTTGCTATATAACCATGGGGAAGAAGAAAGATCTTAAAGCAAACATGCTTCAAATGTAGAAACATTGTTAGCCTAAACTATATAACAAGTGCCCCTTAGCCTTCTTCAGGCGGTGAGCTGGGTGGAAGAAAATAATTACAGATCCAGAGAGTGTGGCTGGTTAATATTAGAGCCTTAGAAGAAAAATGGAAAGTTTGTCCAAATAGTAATATTAGCCAAAAAATGACTGAGCCCAAAGCATCTATTTTTTTCATAGCAGCTTGAAGTGAATAAACTCAGCTTTGTTGGCTCAGTTTCTTGTCTTTCACGTTCTATGAACTAAAACAGTAGTGTTTGTAATTTAAAGGCTAGAATATTTTTCTAGCATAAAATGCAGGGTTCATTTTAAAACTGCTCCGCTTAAGATTAATAAACCACTTAACGGCTGAAAAGCTAATACATTAGGCTTTAATGTATACAGCTTAATGCAGTTTAGAATGCTGTAGACTGGAAGAAATTAATGAAATTCACTTTTATATTCTTAATGCTTTGAAAAATCAGCCAAACTTATGTTGTTTTTTATAGCAGCAGGCAAGCAGCGCTCATTTGTAAAGTCCAGCTTAGAGCATGAAAACCATCTAACCTTAATGTAAGGCTGGCTTGTCTTGCACTAAAAGGTGTTCTGCAGGACTATGGAAAAATTCAGTGATATTCAAAATTAAACTAGAAAATTGCTCTCTGTTGCAAAGCATTCTGGTACTCTGAGGGCACTGAGAAAAGTGTGTCATTTCAATAACTATTTTGAGCAAACTTAAAAAAAAATTCTGGGCTACATTATATTGTGAACTCTCAAATTTTAGTGTATGTTCTGGAAAGGTGGACATACTAAAATGAAATTCTGCCTTTAGGAAGAGGAACACTAAATCATAATCATGATTTAAAGTATGCAAATATAACAAAGCACTTGCCTTCTGTTTAGGTAAAATTGTTGGTAGATAGAGGGTGGGACTGTACATTAAATTTAAGTGATATTTCAAAGTAATTCCTTTCCCCTTCCTTTAAATTTGTAGCATACAAGTTTGGCTCTGATTAAAACTTGTTTTGATTTGATCATGTCAATGTAATGTTTTGACATATACTTTGGGGACTCAAAAGATCTTCACACATACTTATTTTCAATATTCCTATTAGTTAGCTCCATGCTATGTGGTGTCTTATGCTCCAGGTGGCCTCTCTAGGTTGTTTTGTAGTATTATCAAAATTTCTTCCTTATTTGTAGGCTCTAATCGATATGACTCTTGATTTTTACAGGTGCTGTGAGCGATGTTGAGATGCAGGAACATTACGATGAATTCTTTGAGGTATGTAAGAGATGTGAAAATACATTAAAGAGTTTGTGGATTTGTCAACGCAAATGAGTTAGATGGTTCCAGTGTATAGCACAATTAGATGGATTCAGAGAACAGCACTTGTTTCCTCAGATGTTTATATAAAACTTACAACTTTCAGGGTTAAATGTTTCCTGGTATAGCCTTTGTTAGTTTGGCTTTAGCTTTACTGTTTATAATACACTTTGCTTAAAAATCAGCAAGTGATGTAGCATTTTGATTCCATAATCCCCTTCTTTCCTGTAAATTTAAAATATACTTAATTACTTAATTTGTTTCTATACAAATAAAACTGTAGCATCAAGGCTTATGTAGTGTTTTCAGTGCATTTTATGTATTCTGTAAATAATGTATGCACAATGTTTTCCATAGCTTTTTATTGTATCCTGTTAGAGCTGAACTTATATGGACACAGTATAGATCAAGCAAGTACTAATTTTAAAGTCAGAAATGTAAAAAAAAGGGGTTTCTTTTGCTTTTTAAGGCAGGCCTTGTTTTGTACTTAACCAACAGCTAAATGGAATACTTGGGTACTTATAAGTAACGGACTGCAAGCTTTTAATGGGTTGCTCTGTGTTTAGGAGGTCTTCACAGAAATGGAAGAAAAATATGGTGAAGTTGAGGAGATGAACGTTTGTGATAACCTTGGAGATCATCTAGTTGGAAACGTATACGTAAAGGTAGGATAAAGAAAGATGTTGATATAATCAATAGGGGTGGTATTGATTGATTTATAATTTTAAGTTATGCTTGTAGATGTTGCGATAGTAGCTCTTCAGAATGTAAGCACTTCTCTAATTTCACAAGATAAAGTAGAGTGAAAATGTGAATGGAACCTGAAGGAAATTTTAAGAGATGATGAGAAGCTTTCTTGATAGTCAAAATCTGTGTCATTTTCATAAAGATTAACACTATTTACACTGCTGTGAACAGTCACCACTACTGGACTGTTTAGCTTGCCAGGATTGATTTGGGGCCTGTCTTCCCATCACACTGCCTTTTAAACACTTCGTTATGGGCAGAGGTTTATTTGCAACAGGTGTGTTTCTTTTCAACAGGTGCATTTATTTTCTAACTTCCCAGTTAAACAAAACATCTTGTAACTGAGTTACATTTGGCAGTTGCTAGGTGGTTTAAGGTATAAACTGGAGCACTTAGGTTTAGCTCTTAAGTCACTGGTATCTCTTGAATAATGAGTACAAAGTTGTCACCTGCAGAAATTTTACTATGTGTACAGTCTTGGGGAGGTGTGAGAGTTTATTTGAATATTTTTACTATGCATTCACTTAACTGGAAAGTATTTTCACGCCTAAAATTCTTAGCTGTGTAGGTCATAATCAGAAATAAAAGCTGTTTTTTAAAATTTCCAAGTTGTTAGCTATGAAAAGGAATTTCAAATTTTAGTTTTATATTTATCATTTTAAAAAAAATCAGATTTTTGTAAATTCTGCTTTACACAAACGAGCTTCAGTTCTCTTGCAGATTTCTCTTTGGCGTTTGAAAAAAAAATGCATTACACTTAGAGCACTGGTGCTCTAAGAAGTACTCTTAAGCATTCACTTTGCTTCAAGTTGTACTAAGAAAACAATATCTTCTATCATTTTTTTAATGCAAGCCACAAAACTTGAAAGACCAAATAGAACATAATTAAGAGAAATTATTAATGTTTTGGTTAGCTTTGAGTCCTGATTAATGAAAAGCTAGAATCTTGACCCTTGATTTGATGGACCATCCCAGGAACTTTTGAAGTAGCTTCTAGTTTGGTTGCTAGTCCTAAGCCTCAGATACCACACAACTGATTCGATAGGAATCTTTGATCTACTTCTGTTGCTTCCCTGTAGCTTGAGAACATGTTAATTTTGCTTTTAGTTTCGCCGTGAAGAAGATGCAGAAAAGGCTGTGATTGACCTGAACAATCGCTGGTTTAATGGACAGCCCATTCATGCTGAGCTTTCACCTGTGACTGACTTCAGAGAGGCCTGTTGCCGTCAATATGAAATGGGGTAAAAAGTGACCTCCTGTTTGCCTATGACAGTGTCTCTGAAATGCTTGCACGGACAGGGCAGGTGCTTGGGTGGGGCTTTTATGTGTAGCTTAGTGTAGGAAAAAAACCACTTTGGGTAATGTTGACATAGAGGAACTGCAATGAATCTCTTGACTTTTGCCATCGTTTTAGGATTTTGATCTAGGAATGAGTCAGTGTCAGTAATCAATGCTTGCAGTTTACTGGTTTTAATGATAGAGGAGATTGACTTTTAGCCATCTAAAGGTAATTAGGGCTTAGGGCAAACAGGTGCACTGTAGAGTTGGCAGTCTTCACTATGTCTTGAATTCTGTTTCAGAGAGTGTACACGAGGAGGTTTCTGCAACTTCATGCATTTGAAGCCCATTTCTCGAGAGTTAAGACGCGAGTTGTATGGGCGGCGTCGTAAAAAGTAAGTTTGCTTTTAAACACGATTAAAACAGGTTAATTAAGGATCAGTTGCTGAAAACTCTGAAGGCAAATCTTTATACTTCAGTCCTCTTGTTTTTTCTGGTGCAATTATGACACATGCCAGTGAAATGGTATCAAGTAAAGTTGGCAAGTGGCCCTTTCAGAACAAAAGGAATAGGTCTTTGTTTAAACAAAAAAAAAGTTATGGTGCTTCTTGCTCTGCGGTGCTGTGGATGCTGAAGGTTGATGAGGTTTTAAGAGAAGGCAGGGTTCAAGGAGAATATTCACTGAATTACTGAGTACGTAGGACCTACCTGTGGTTCAAATCTCCAGACTATAAACTGTTACAGGTGATGGGATGTGATGCTTTATGCCTCTTCTCTTTTATTCTCTTCTAAATGTATTTGCTTGTGGCCACTGTTAGAAGCAGGCTACTTGGCTAATGGGCTTTTTGACAGGATCAGCAACTGGCCACTTCCAGTGTTATGCACAAGCAGGCATATCTGTAGATTATATTCAGGATCCAACCTTGTTTTCATCAGATAATGGCTAACTTTTCTAGCCCGTATTCATTCCTTGTGTCAATAACAGGCAGTCACTGTATTAAGCTCACTTTTTATTAATGCTAGCCTATCCTTCTTGATAGGAATTCTTAGCAGAGCAAAGGAATAGTAATTTTGCTGATTTTTTTTTTAAATATATAAATATATTTTTAAATTATTTATTAAGGTACCTTGTAGAAAGTACCTGCTGCTGCTACTATGACAGCTGTCTTGTGGGGTTCATTTTGAGCTGGATTCAATTTGCTTTCTTTTAAGACCTTGCTATTCAGGATAGGTATATAAAACCCTTGAGCTTCCTTTTATATAGAGCACAATTCTGTAGGTTTCTTTCAATCACAGAAAGAGCCTGGGATTATGAACATGTTTTTCCTATAAATGTCTTTTAATTGGCAGTGTCTTAGAATTTGTGAAGATGAATTTGACTTTGGAAAATGTAGATTGTGTTGCTTAGACACATGTATTTGTGTCTCAATACTTCCCTAAAATATCCCAATTAATATTAATTTAAACTTAAATGTAAGCTTTTAAGATGTTTGATTTATGAAAAAGACTAAGTATGCTCTTGTGTTAGTCTTTTGGTCACTTCTATGGATCTGAATATCTCAGTAATGCTAATTAAAAGATATTAGCTTTTAGCTTTTATTGCAAGAAAGATGAAACTTGTGTGTTAGGCTTTGGAATATGATTGTTTTACCCATAGCCCAGTTTCAGTCTGTGGTAAAACAAATAAAATAACTGAATGCTCAATCCAGTTTTGTCTTTATTGGCCCTATTTAAATTCTTTGTGCAACTAAAGCTGTTGCAGGGTAGCAGTAAGGTTTGATATAAAAAAAAAAAAATCAGTTCTTTTGTCATTGGGGTTTCACAGGTAGATTGTATAAACCAGACTGACCTGAAAGTAGTTCTATGCAGAATTAAATGCATAAAAGTTTTTTGAGTAGAAAAAAGGAGGGTAAACCAGAAATGTTGAATAATAGGTTAATATAATAATTCTGGACAGCTCAGTGGTATGTAAGAGTTATGTACATGTGTCTGTCATAGTAAAATTCGTCACTATACACACTCCCACCCCAAAACATCACACCATGGAACAATATTCTGCAAATTTAAGACTTGTAGCATTTGTTTCCCTGAGCTTTTTACTTCTGCTGTCATTTGTACATCTATTTAAAACTGTACTGTTCTCCTATTTTATAAAATAGACTTTTCTAAAATGTTTAAAAACATTCAAACCGCTTTTTTCTTTGACAAATGCCATGTCAGCTATAAATCCATAGTAGCTGTGTTAGCAGTACATTCTGGGTGGTTTTAGCTTTCTTCTGAACTTAAGTCATCAGCTTTCAGAGGCAGGGAAGATTATCTGCAAATACTGATGGCTTCTGGAAGGGTGGGAGGTGGGGAAAAAAAAAGGGAACTGAATTGTAATTGCTAATTAATGCAGTTGATTTAATAGGAGTGGACTTAGAAACAGCTGTAGGCTTTTGCTGTATCTTGTTAAGAGCTATTCATAACTGCAAAAGCAGGTGTCCCCTTCTCTTGCTTCTTTAACATCTGTGTAACAGTGCATTTGGCTCCTCTGCATGCCTTTCCTTAAGTGTTTGCCCATCCATTGTAATGGATGACTGGCAGTGAACAGTTGAGTCTCTTAACAGCATGTGTTGACTCTTCAGTATTATGTTTGTTCAGTTTGTAAATGCATGGTTTTGCAGCCGGAGTGCCAACTTACCAATTGTTCTAATGCCACATTGTCTGTCTTCTCCCTCATTACTCACATCCTTAAGTGTTCCACTGTGTGGTACTGCAAGTAAATTTCTGAACATGATGAAACAATAAAATGTTCAAACTTTCTTTGAAGGCATAGATCCAGGTCGAGGTCCCGTGAACGTCGGTCTAGATCCAGAGATCGTGGTCGTGGAGGTGGTGGTGGTGGAGGAGGAGGACGTGAACGTGATAGGAGGCGGTCAAGAGATCGTGAAAGATCTGGTCGATTCTGAGCCATGCCATTTTTACTGTATGTCTGCTAGAAAGTGTTGTAGTTTGACCAAACAAGTTCATAATGAGATTTTTTTTAAAGATGGGCTTCTGAATAAAAAATTTGTAGTGATACAGTATTCTTTGTGTAACTTGTTTCTTGTGGGGGGAGTCTTTTTAACTGTCATTCCTCTATCTTGACAAATACCTGGATTAACTATGCCTGAGGGAAAGGTGGTAAATGTATTGGAGGAGCACCAGTTTTGGTTTTGTTTTGTTTTTTTTTTTATTTGGGTATAATTTGAACTGTTGATGAAGATGTGTGTGTATATAATATAAAATATTATATACATAGTAAAAATAATATACTGCTTAAGAAACAGTTACATAAGTTTCCCTTTTCTGCTATGCTGTCTGCTTATTTAGGTTAGTTTAGGCACATTTAAAAGGAAGGCTGTGCAAAATGCATTTATTTACCAAGTAGAAACGCTTAGTTACAAAAATGTATGTTTGTTTGTTACCAGAAGTCTGTGCTCTGTCTATCAATGTGACTGTGGCATTTACAATAAATCCAATTTCTTGGTGTAAAATCTAAAGCCTATTTTCTAAGCACTCTGGAGTAGTTGAGTTGCTACTCCTCTCTGTGCCAGAGTTCATAGCTCAATTTTTTATGACTCTTGACTAAATTCCTTATCTTTGGCTGGAAAGAAAGTTGCCTAGTGCAGTGTGGAAAAAAAGTAATATTTTTATTGGAATGATTCATAATAGGCAGGTGAGGGTTTTTTTAAAAAAAATACACTTGTGCTCTGTTCAACATGATACTTAGGTTCTATTGAAGGAAATACTAGGTCCTAAATGCAAGGACCAAATTTCTTAACAGACTGATTTTTTTTTTTTTTTTTTTTTTTTTTTTTCAGTCTATGTTCTCTTACCTGTCATTTAATGAAAAGCATTTTGTTAGCATCCAAGGTCATAGGAAACTAATTGAATGCTAGTGGAAAATTTTTTTTTCCACCTTTACTTGCTTTTTGATATTCTGAAATGCGATAAACGCTAATGGATAGATGGCAGTTTCTTCACAAATAAGACATCTTTCTGTTTGAGTTTTAATTGAATTGCACAATAGCTATATATCAGAGATTGTGTATCTCGAGTGAAAGCTCCAGTTGGAACGTTGCTGGAACATCCTCAGAGACCATTTGTACAATGGCTGACTTGCAGTTTAACTTCATGTCTGCTTTTATTCAGAGTGTAACATACTAAGAAGTTTTTGTCAGTGGTCACATTTCTCCAAGGTACAACTTGATGTACATGAAGCTATGTAATACAATATAGCTTTCCAAGGGGGGAGAAAATTTACGAGCGCGTTTTTAGTTCTGAGTCAGATAACTTGTTAAATGATAAATCTGTTCCCTGATTACTATTAAAGAAACAAAGGAAATAGGATATGGAAGTGTCACGTAGCCAGATTAACAAACCAGCTCCTCTCTGCCTCTAAGTATAAAACCATTTTGCTCACTGGAATTTGGAGTTGGCAAACAAAATAATATCGAAAAAAGCTTTTCTAAATTAATCTGCTTTGCCTCTTACAGCTAAATTCTTGCACCAATTTAATTTGAATTTATTTTGTTCACACTGGATGGTTTGGCCGACCAGATTGTGGAACTTACTTTGCCAGTAAGCTTTTTAAGGAAATGTATCACTCTATGTGAACACGGCTTCACTGCTTATGTTTTGCTGCAAGTACATAAATGAAATTATGCTTTCTTTTCACTGGAAGAAATTGAGCCATGCCTGGCAATAAATGGCTGAACTGAAATCTGTGGTATTTCTGCTAGGCATTGGGAATTTAACGTTGATAATTTAGTTCTTGCAGTTTACAGGATATTATTCCATTTCTTCTTCAGTGAGATTTAGGATTATTAGATAATTTAAATCTCAAGATCAAAAAGGTGAGGATAGTCTTTCTGTTTTTTAAAATAGTATATAGTATAATGTGGATACTATTTTAAAAGGTTTCATATCATTTTTACACAGATTAATGACACAAGCTGATTTGCTCTATAAACAAGTTAGTTTTAAACTAGTATAAATGTGTCCCTGTAACAGCTTTCATCTGTTTGTCTAACCAATGTTAAACTGCAGGTATCATTTTTTAATTAAAATATAGCAGAAGGTTGATTTCTCCCTCTCCCCCCAGTACACTTTTTCTTAAAGCATTCTTGAATTCCACCAAATGCATCGTTTTATGGTCTTAATTGCACAGCTACTCAAAAACTAACCATGTAACTGGAATATGTCATAATGGGCACTGAAAGCAAGGGATTTTACTGGATACTCGAAGGAAAAAAACTTGTGCACTGATCACTACCTGATCATGTAATGATTACCTAGTGACAGCATTCAGCATATAAATTAAGCTCATGACATATCTTCAGTTAGGTTCACCTTTAAGACTATACTACCAGTAAAATTCATCAAACTTGAGATTTAAACTCCACAAATTCGGTTAAACACTTATATATGGTAGTCCAACCTGCATTGGTTTACCAATACAAACTAAGTGGAAATACTACCTCCCCCTTCTATTGTTGCTCACAATGTCTTAGAGAAAATTTTTTTTCTTCCCAAAGGTATCTACTTCTCTCAAATATTTCATTGTTGACTCTTCTGTTAAACAGTGGATCTTAATTTATGGAATTCCTTTACCTCAAATAAGTGACAGCATACAGTATTTTCTGAAGTCTGAGTCAATTAGGTTGAAACTGTTAATCCCAAGTGGCTTCCTCTTCTTTGTATTTGGCTCTTATTCTGTGAAAATGCTGCTTGTCCATGAATATGATGTATGTTGAAACTGTAAAACCAAATGGAGAAAACTTGTTCAAAATAAAGCCTTTTTTTATAAGAATCTGACAAAAATTATCCCTTTCCTTTAGATGGGATGCTGCTCTTCAAATGACTATTGAGGACATAGACTACAACTTTCAAATTCTTGGCTCTTGTCTTGAGCTACTTTTTGAGTGATTCTTTGTCTTCTGTTTTTTAGAGCTGGTGGAGTATGTCTTCAACTGAAAAAAAAAAAAAAAGGCAAAAAAAACAAACAAACAAAAACAAACAAGAAACAACAAAAAAAACCCACACCAACCTCTCCATATTTACTTGATGAAGTATCAAAAGAGTGCACCTGGGGTTGGGAGTTGGGGTTTTGTTTTGGTTTTAAATTGGTAAGTGTTCTTTCTGGTTGAAAGATCCTGGCAGCTTCTGTTGTGGTGGTCTGTAGAGAAGGAGGTGGCTCATTATTGACAGAAGGAGCATGTTTAATTAATGAAATGAGTGAGAGGGGTCCCTAGTGTTGTATCACTCAAGCTGCAAAACTTGGGGCGCTAACAACTGTCCGCTGTTGCTATCTTACAACAGCACCTTAAACTGAATACACTGTCTTTAATATATTGGAAATGAAACTGCTTTCATAGCAGTGTCGGTGGGGGGGTTTTAATCTCTCTGTTCTGATGCTTGTAACTGCTGCTGCTGCTGCACTGGTGATTGCCCCAAAAAATGGTCCTGTTCAGGAAAAGTCAGAGCTCAAAACCACAGCTGAGTTGGTATGCACTCACTCCAGCTGGTGAGGAATTAATGCCTAATAGGAAGGGCTGTCATAGAAAAGAATGTTTGTAGCTGTATTAATTTGCCATTTAATGCAAGGATGAAGCTGAGCTGTATTACAGTAGAGCACAATTTTGCCTTGGTGTGCATGAATTTCAATTTTGAAAAAACAATCAGAATGGCAGCCAAAGGTCTAAATCGATATATCTTCATGTTGAATTGATACATGATGCATTCTAAAACTGTGCACAAGTATTTCTGAATTCATCCGATTACCCAGTGTTACTTTTTTTTTAGAAATGTCTCCAAATTCTTTCTCTTTTTGCATTATTCAATTTGTTAAATCCACATCTATGGAAAATGGAGCATGTCTCCCGAACTCTGTGGGCAATCCTTCCTTGTCAGCAAGGTGCTCATCAGTCATAAACATCTAATCCTCTGTTAATGCATGTCATGTTTTATTAATTACAAAATTGTAGCCTCCAGCAAGCAGAACCACTGGTGAAAGGATGCTGCTGTCCTACACTACCACCCCGTTAGTACTTTTGCAGCAGCAGCGGAACAGCTTTAGAAGGTCCTTGTTTTCCTGCTGGAGGTTAGTGACAAGAAAGGTGTTAATTTGACTGACCAAAAGCATCAACTGTAAATTGGTTTTGTGGAATCGGGTTGAATGGTGGAAGCTAACAAACCAGTTCTGCCAACAAACTAGCTCTGGTAGCCAGTGGCTTCATTTCAACATACGCGAAGTGGGAGGGGGAAGGCTGTGCTTATCTCATAACTGTTGAGGCACAAATGCCTGCTTCTTAGCAGTGCTCCGTAATCATCAGGTTCAGTACTTTTCCATAATTCCAGTTTTGGTGTTTGCTTCCTAACAAGATCGTTTTGACGGGACCAAAGGCAAGTTACGTGCATTCGTGCACCAGCAGAGCAGAAAGGTGCTAGCTTCTGGTGAAATGGGGATGCTGGGGACAGCAGCTTCTCGGGTGAGCTGGAGCCCTGTAGCAGCTTGTGTGAGTATGGTTGCCCCTTTGATCCAGGTACCTTCAAAATACTTAGAGCTCTGCAAGCTCTTCCCCCTAGGAAGAGAAGATGATTATGATTCAAGTATTCATTTGGGACAGACGTGCTTGACGAAGGTATGCAGAGTGCTGTTTTCTGGAGCACTATGGAATCATTGCGCTGTAGGCCACTTCCAGCTCTCAGTTTCTAAAACTGCATGTGTAGTTAGATCTGGAGGGGGGAAAAAAAAAAAAAAATAGTTTCTCCTCTGGATTCAGTGAGCCACAAGGTGAAGTGGGGAGAAAGACAGCAGATAGCAATCAAGCCCATCTCCCTACCTCTTCATTTTTCACAGTAAAGCGTTTAGTCTACCAGGCTTAGGCCCACTGTGCTTTTGCCAGCACCTGGCTTGATTTCAAGTCTTGCTACCTATGCAGCTGAATATTGGATGTGTTTCAGATCCTGCTCACTTTCTTCCTGGAGCTGTCTGGGATTCCAGCCAGGCGCAGGGAGGGAAGGAGCTGCTCCCACTGCAGCCTGCACACCAGCCTGCCTCCTGGGCCTGAGAGCTGTGGGAAGAGCCAGGGGCAGCAATCGCTCCTCCCTTTTCTGCCCACCCCTATTTCCCTTGAGAGCTAATGCTGCTCGTGTTTAAGAGAAAGATAAGAGAGACCCTCATGCGTGAGAACAGTCCTGCATCTTCCATCATTTTCTCTTCCTTCTTCTTCTCTAGCAAACACAGAGGATACTTCCTCTCCGTTTCCTCTTGTGTTGGTGGAGAAAAAAGTCCTGGAGCTGCAGGAGGAAGAGATTTGATAAAAGAGACTCTGAGGCAGGACATGAAGAACTAACTTCTGGACAAAGCACAAGTAGAAAGTTTGCAGACAGCCTTACTGGCTTCAGGATTGCATGCAACATTAATTGTTGCACTGGTAGACTGGGGATGGGCATGGGAAATTCCAAAGTCTAAGGCCAAAATCTGACCAAGTAATAGTCTCATTAATGCCTGGACCAGCCTTTTAATTCTGGAGGGGTTTGACTCATTATTTTTGACCCTTTCATGTGACTGTGTTGACCACAACAAAAAGGCATCTAATTGCCCTTTTTGATGAACCTCCAAGGAGGCAAGCCTTTGGTCTTTTGGGCAACTCTGTGATTCTCAAACACACATATTGTGGCAGCTCTAACACCTTACAGAAAAAAAACATCTTCAGCAAAGCAAATAGATCTGTAGTGAAGAGAGAGCAGCAGATTACGTCTTCCTTGTAGTACTAGTAGCTGATTTAAGCAAGGTTTCTGACAGAGTCTGTCACTCCACTGTGGTATCCAAGCTGGGTTCGCATAGGTGGCTTGTCAGATGAGAGAAAAATTGGTTGGGCCGTTTGGCTTAGAGGGCAGTGATTAATAGTTCATACCCTCCCCCGAGATCAGTTACATCTCGGTCTGTGCTGGTATCTGTCCTGTGTCAGTATTTTTATCAGTGACTTAGAGGAGAAAACGAGAGCGTCCTCAGAGGGTTTGTGGATGACACCAAACTAGAGTGGTGCACTTGACACACGACAGTCATCCATGAGGACTTGGACAGTCTAGAGGGGTGGGCCCGCAGGAACCTCATGAAATTCAGCAAGGATGAAGTCTTACCCCTTGGGTGGATCAAGCCCTGGCAGGGCATAGCTCTGCATGGCAAGTCCCTTGGGGACATGGTGGGCAGCAAGCTGGACATGAGGCCACAGTGTGTCCTGGGAGCAGAGAGGGCCAGCTGCATCCTTGGTGGGATGAGCAAGGACAGCCAACAGACTCGGGGAAGAATTGAAAGAGGGGAAGTTCCAGCTGGGTGTAGGGAAAACATTTTTCTTAGGAGGGTAGTCAGACACTGGACTGGCTGTGCAGTCTTTGTCCTGGGGGGCCTTCAAGACCTGACTGGACAAGGCCTGAGCAACCTGAGTTAATCTCTAGATGGACCCTGCTTTGAGCAGGAGGCTGGACTGCAAACGTCCAAAGGTCCCTTCCAGCCTGAGCAATGCTGTCGTTCAGGTGTTTAACCTAAATCCTTGTTCCTGTAACTTTGACCTTTTCCACTTTCTCCTACTCTGAAGGAACATGAAAAATGGTTTATCCCTTTCCTCATTGCCCTTTAGCTAAATGAAGGCAGTTCTGCCTTTTTTTTGAGTTTTCTCTTCTCTGAACAATTCTACTTTTTTCAGTCTTTATGCCTGGGCTGTGTTTCTCTCTATACTTTTTTGTTGTGCTCCTCAGCCCATGCCCGATGTGGGCCATATCTTTTTTGAAATGCAGAATTCCAGATGGGATGTGGTACCTCAGCAAAATGCTCCAGTGCTGAGAGTGACATGTATCCTGCAGACTATATTCCTGTTTGCATAACCCTGTACAATGTTTGCTTTTTTCACAACAGCAGGTTCTTGTTGACTCACATTGAGCTTGCATGGCACTATAGTCATACCTTCCACTCCACACAGTTGCTGTCCAGATAGCGGCTACTCTAGCAGTTGTTTACTCCTGCCTGGCTGTAAATTTTTGCATTTGTCCTTAATGGCCAACTTCCTATTTTACCTTCTCATCTCATTTCTCCAGTCTGTCAAAGATAATTTTGAACTATGATTCTGTTCTCCAAATTGTTTGTGGCCTCTCCCATACAGTTAAAATATGGAGTGGCTCCTCTTGGGCTGCTTTTTTCTCCCTTTGTATAAAAATGTTTCCATGAGCTTGTGCAACAGCCTTGTGCTCTCCCCTCCCAGAAGGGCTCTGCGTACCACTCAAAGCACCATTGGTTCTTTGGGTGACTTCATTAGATGCTCACAAAAAAGCCTCCTCCGCCTGATCTTCCTTCAGTGATCCTAGCACAACAGCATTTACCTTTTTTCTCCTCTCCCTTTGATCACTAATTGCTCTTGTCTGAGGGATCTTCCTCCTCAACGTTTCAGCTTCAGAACATCTACTCATCCCTGATACAAGAAACAACATTCTATGTTTGCTGTTCTTAAGCAAGCTGTTTATTTCTGTGTTAATATTCCAGTCGGAGTTGTATCACCGCTATGCTGATCAAATCATAATTTTGATTATACACCAACCCTCACTGCAACTCCTCTTGTTCCTTGGGAGAAAAATAGTCCTAAGCGTTGTCAGATCTCAGGATATGGCTTAAGCAGCTCCATTTATCAAACTGGTAGTGACCTGCTGGTTTATAGGAGTTATTTGCAAGGCTGGGTTGAAAAGTAATGCAAGTGTCCCACCGATTGGGCTCAGCCATAATGGGTCTAATTAGTAGCCAGTGGGGTAGAGAAAAGCTTTGCGTATTCATTCCCAGCCACCATGAATGATTTTGATGCCACTAATGCCAATGGGTCAGTGTGGGTTGGTGTTGCTGTGGATATCTTTTAAGTCAGGTTTTGTTGTGTTTTTTTTTAAGTCAAAAATCCCATTTTCTTGTTAGTTTTGTGAGTTTACCTTCACCTAGCTGCTGCCAGAGTGAAGGAGATTGAATTTTGAGTGCGGAGCTGTGGTGCAATTGCAAATCCCTCTCGTTAGCCTCACACATTATGTTCAGATAGTTTCCAACATGTCTGCTGCTGTCACTTGGTCTTGCAAGTTTTCTCTGAGGTATCTGGTTTACATTTTACAGGATCTGGCAAATCCACCTGTGCTGCCGATTTCATATCTCAATGCCCATCTGCCTGAAGTTGCAGTGGTTGCTGAGAGGATGGCATTTCTCCAGGCAGAACAGCTGACTCGGTGCCTCTTCCCTCAGTCCCTCATGAAAGGCATAAAAGGTACGGTTATCCCTTCTTGGCTACCCTCTGTGGGTATGACTACAGTTTTCTAACACTTGCACCCATTCTGTTCCAAATATTCATGGATTTTTGCTTGGCTGTGCTTTGCAGCTGGGCCTCACGTGTGCTCTGGTGTCTTCACGGTTTTTCTGATACCCATTTCAAGGGTCAGGCATTCTTAGCCTCACCATCTTCACACTGCATTCCTCTTGTGCTATTCTGTAATTTAGCTGTACCAAAGGCAAGCTATAATCTGATTCAACATGCTTTTTCAAGTGACGTTTTTCCAGTGGGGCTAATGGTTACTTGGGCAAACCCCACTTTACATGCATATTTCAGACATAATTAGCTAGGCAAACTGCGATTTAAAGTAAATATTTGTCCTGTTTAACAGCAGTATTTTCTAGTAAATCTTTTTTTTAGGAAAATGAAAATAACAGTGTGGAATTCAAAGTAGGTTTACATCTACATTGATCCAGAAAGGGCGCAGGGAAAGAGCAATGTAATTCATCATCAACATGGATTTTTCTCTGTAATTTGTGTGGACTTTTAGCATACATGATGAAACAGCTGCCCCAGTGTCACTTTTTTATTTAAGGACAATATAAAATACATGGATCTTGATTTGTTTGTAATTCTTCAGTGTTTTTCCTGTGTTTTTTGTTTCATAAATTTAACCCCACATTCTAGTCATGGTCCATTTTCTTACTAGAGAGACCCTCAACTTTGTAACCCTAAGACTGGTCAGTCATTCAGCTTCAGACCAGTCACATGCAGTTGTAAAGTCTCTTCCGTCATTTTACCACTTGATTAAAACATCCTGTTCCTTACTTTTTATTTTTATACAGCATATAATACTCTCCAAATAGCTATAATACATGGTATCTATATGTACAGATGGAGACATACAGTTGTCTCCACTCCTTCAGTTACCTAAAACACATGGACCACTTCAGGGTGAATCATGTTCTAAAATAAAGCTACCTTGAATTGCTTTTCTGTTTATTGGTTAATATTTATAGATACAGATGAAATTGCTGCTTGGCCTTTATACAGCAACAAGCTAAGTTCTCAAGATCTCTGGTAAGCCTTTTTGGTATCTCACACTTTCATGCAAGGATTTCTGTTTTGTTTTGTTTTTTAACTTTCTGCATAATCTGGAGCACCTTGTGGTTGTCAAGAATTACTCTGTGGCAGTTTGCCCTGAGTGTCTTAAATTTGCCTGCACCCCGTGTTATACATCGTGAAGCTCCATTCACAACAGCGCAGATGCAGACACCGTGACACTGAGCAGCTTCCCAGGCAAATACCTCATCATCACCATTCTCAGACACCATCAGAAGTGTAACAATTACATCAGAGCATATTAACTATCCATTGCATTGGTGCTATAAGGACTCGGGGAGATGAAGCCAATTCAGCTAGGACACAGCCCCCGAGGCTTCCTGGCACGCAGCCTGCCTCTGTGCCAGCCAGTGCCCCAGCAGACGAGCACCAAATTGTAGGTGACATGGGAGAGAAAGTGTTTAGTTTTTTTTTTTTTTTTTTCCAGAGTCATGCTTAGGGCTTGCCACCTTTTGGGATAAACCCAATTATGCAGCACAGGCACTGGGGTGGGTCTGCTCCAGCGACACGCTTGCACTTGCGTTCTGTATCACCTTTTCCAGCCTGCATCTCCCAGCCGGAGGATTCACCAGCTCCTCCCGGCCCCGGGCTGGGTATTTCCAGGCTTTGAGCTGGGCCCTCTGCCCCGATGCCGACCTGGGCAAGCCGAAACGGGGACTGCCGTGCAACCACCCGCAGCCCTCTTCAGGGGGTTCAGGTGCCGGGGGAGAGCTGGCTGCAGCCCAAACCATAACACTCCCCTCACAGCAGCCCCGTCTGATGCGCTGGGTACTTTATTTTTTTTTCCCAATTTGACAAGTAGCCAGTAAGACAGGCCGTGCGCGGGGTTTACAAGCAGCCTAGGCGCCTCTCCCTCCCTACGGCCGCTGCTCCCGGGCGCACTGTTAAGTGTCGCTTTCGAAGCCTGGGGCCAGGACACCGGCAGGGCCCTTCCCCGGGGGGCTCCGCGAAGGCCGGTTGGGGAACCCCCGGGCCCTTCACTCCCGGCTTCCCCTCAGGGATCCGGCCCGGCGGCAGGCGGCACCGCCCCCTGCCCGTGCGCCGCCTCCCCCCATTGGCTGTCACTCACTCACCCACGCCCCCGTGGCGGCCAATCGCCGCGCGTCGTCGGCTCTCCCTCCCCACCTCCCCTCGGAGGGCGGGGCCAGGGGACTCGCGGGCTCTTCTTAACCTCTGCGCCGCGGCCGGCCTCCGCTGCGCCGCCTCCTCCTCCTCCTCTTCATCCTCTTCCTCGTCATCACCGCAGCGCTGGTGGGCGGCCGCGTCCCGGGGGAGCGCCCGGCTCGCGTGGGTGAGGTGGCGGCCGTAGCGGCGGGGCGGTTGCATTCCCGTTCCCGCCTTGGTGCCCGTTGCATCATCCGCGGGCGTGGGGTGGGGTGGGGGAGGAGAGCCGGGGGTGGCCGTTAAACGGTCGCTGTGGCGCCCGGGGGCTCGGGAGCGCTGCCTTCGCCGCGGTCCCGGCGGGCGGGGAAGGATGGAGGGCTGCGGGCCGGTGGGAGAACGTGGTTGTGCTTTTCTTTTTTCTTTTTTTTTTTTTTTTTTTTTTTTCTGTGATTGAGAAAGGAGATGGGAGCGGGTAGCCGCGGAGCCCTGGAGCCAGCCCCGGGCCGGCGTTCCTCCCGCGGCGGGGCCGGGAGCGCAGCCCTCGGTGGGGGGTCGGGGTGGGGTGCGCAGGGCAGGCCGGAGGGTGCCCGCGGGGTGCCCCCTCCGAGCAGGGAGCAGCAAGAGGGAGTGGCCTGCACCTTTTACAGGCTTGCAAGATGACACTGTGTCTTTTTTTCTATCTCTGGGTCTGGCACCAGCTCTTCAGCCGCTCTTGGCCTGTCATCCATTGCTCTGCTGAGTACTGTGAGTGTGTCTCGCCTGTGTTTTTTGGCAAGTCTGGCTAAGGCAGCAGACCAAGAGGCTTCTTTTCTTACATTTTATTTCATATATTGCCCTTCCCCTATTGGGAAGGGTCTGAAATTGACTAAAACCTGAGAGACCTACTTCAATGGCAGCACTAGTAATGCTGCTGGCATATTATTGAACCAGTCACTACTTGGAAGACAAGTGATACTTCTCTTCTGCCTGTCTGAGTATCTAGTCTTCTGTGTATCTCTCTAATCCTAAAGTCTTCGACCATGGAGGCTTTGGAGTGCTGGGCTTTGTTCCAGCAAAGTTGCTCAGATTGTTTGCCCTTTCAACGAGTCTTTTTGCTGTTTTGAAGCATGAGAATTCTGTGTTCTGTAAAACTTGTGCTGCAGAAAGGAAGGAAAACTCAGAGTATGGAGATGGGTGAAATCTGAGGATTTTGTGTCAGAGAGGAAAGGTATTTCCTGGGAAACTGAGACCTGCTTAGAACCTGCTGTTTCTTGGCAGGAGAACAGTTGTAGTGAGATCACTACTAGTGAAGCATGGTTTAGGTGCTGGGTTAGGTCCAGTACTTAGAACGTTTGGACGGGTCATCCTTTTTGATAGTAGCTGATGGCTCTTTATTATCACCCTCTGTGTGTGAGTTAACCAGACTGCTTTCCTGAAGGCAGAGCAGTACTTCTAAAAATTGTTGGTAGGCAGGGTCATGGGGGGCCTGTGTCCTGGAGTGTGCCTGCTGGCTCAGGTACGTCACTACTCTGGCACCAGCAGCATAGCTGGCTGCCAGGACGGCTGGGATGGGCTGTCCTGTGGCTGCTGGCAGGTGCCTGCTAGCTGCATGTGAGATCCATAGGAACTAGGCAGTGTACTGTGCTCGTGGTTGCACTGTGGCTGGCCGACAAAAGCTCCACAGGTGTAGCCAGAGTGGGTGGCAGTTGGTCTTTCCCACAAAACATACATCAGCCGAAAAGCTGGCTTCCTGCCCAAGTGGTGGTAGCCAGCAGTTCTCTGCCAGCCTTCATCAGAGGTCCCTGGGCTATCAAAAGATGTGATGCCTTGCATGGAGGCACCATAATGCTGGGGAAGGGGAGCTGTGCTGCTACCTGTTTTATAGACCTGGTCAGAATTGAGAGCCAAGCTCCGACTCCCTCTTTTTGTTATGCCGGGCAACTTAATCTCTGAGCCTCTGTTATCCTGCTTGTGCTGCTTCTCTCCCTGTGCTTGGTGAGCTTGGAAGATAAAGAGCACTGATCATATTGTAGCATTGGTCTATCTTTGCGTGCTGACTAAGGAGAGGGAACTAGAAGCAGGGAAAGAAGTAATGAAAGCTTCTGATTGCAGCAGGTAAAAATGCAGGTAAGGCATTCTCCAGTCTTTTTTCTCATTCTGTTGTGCTCCTTGAAGATGACTGTCTTTGCTCAGAAGACTTATCAGCTGAGTCCAGACCAGAGTTGGAGTCAACACACGTGCTTATCTGCTCTGTAGAATAAAACAGAAATAAGACTTTTGATTCTTGAAGGAACTCCTCTAGATCCACAGTGTTGTTAATTCATACTCCAGTTACTTCAGGTCACTTGTCTCCTGACATGAGAGTGATGGCTGCCTGCTGCTGAGGAAGTAGCAAGGGGACACACATACACAAAACAACAACAAAAACAACAAAAAAAACCCCAATCCAAATGGCAGACTGTCTTCTGAATCACTTATAGCTGTGTTGCTTCCAAACAGCTTCCAAAGGCTGTGTGGGTACTGCTACATCTGGTAACCTGTGAAGATCCTAAGGCTCTCTAAGACCCTGTGATACGCAGAGTGAGCAGAACAACTGGTTTGTAGTGGTTTACTTGTTCACAAAGTACCTGCTTAACATCAAAGTTTCCCATTCTCAGGCTGCAGCATAATGGAATCCTGTATCTCCTCTCTTACTGAGTAGTCAGGCCTTGGGGCATCTCTCTCTGATCCACCTCTTACACCTGCCTTTTAGACAGCTTCACTTCTGCTTCAGACAAGACTCAGGTTAATTAGGTTCTTGCATACATGATACTCTTTAAATATCCACATTAGTGCTGACAGAAACTTTAGCCCCCAACATTATCTGTTTGAGGATTAATTTCACTCACTGGCCTTCAAGCCTGTTCTGTAGGAGTTGAGAAATAGTTTAGGTCTTGGCTTCCCTGTGGAGATGGGTCCAGAGATGTGAGCCCTGCCCATGAGGCTTTCTGGATCTCATACCTCTGTCTATGTCCCAATCCCTTTCGTGACTTAGGTTTAAGTGACTTTGTAAATTGTCTTTTTGATTTTTCTGCCTCGTGCTCTGCAGATATAATGGCAGAAGTTAGTCAGGCTTTTCTAGTTAGACTCTGCCCACACACCCAGCCAGTTATGGGAGTGTTCTCTTTTACAGCAAACCTAAATTCGGGCTGACAAATTTTTCTGAAGATGGGCACCTCATCCTGCATCTCATCTCCCTCAGTATGTTCTAAGTAGCATTCAGTTGCAGTTAGAGAAGCAGAGTTGCCATTCTCTCCTGTCTCTGCAGCCTGCATTCACAGAAAAAAGACGGTCTGTCTAGCAAAGGAATTGGTGTCATCCTCTGTTTTTGGTGATTTCTGTTCCCCAAAGATCTACCCAGTAGAAGGATGCACCAGCTTCCTATGGCCTGATTTGGCCTGTAAGTAGGATCACGGGGGAGATTTGGATGTCCTAGACTGACCACCTCTTCCCCCTGTTTTGCTGAAGTTGCATCATCTAGGGCTGTAAGCACCAGTTGGATGTTCTGGGTGGTGTGTCAGGAAGCTTACCAGTAGCTCTGAAGGAGTTTGAAGATCTGAGCTCTTCCTGTTGGTTCTGAACATGACAAGTCAGTCGTTGGCTCTCGACCTGTTTCTTAGGTGTAACTAAGCCATTGCAGGTGCTTTTGTCTCCTTTGAGTGCTATAGTAAGAATTCCCCTTGGACAACAACCAAGTCTGTCCTAGGAATTTGTCCTTCAAAACCTGAAGATATTAGGTTGACCATATTTGGGACTGATTCTCTACTAGCATGATTAGAATTTGACTTTCTAAATGTATAGAAGCATATCTATTTACTTTAGAATGGCTGGGTGTGGGGTTCTTCAAAATAGTGCCTAATAAAATGATTTGAAGGGATTTATTGAACAGGAGTTTGTGTTCCTTTCAATGAATGATGTTGCTTAAGGTTAGTATTTGATGACGGGATTTTTGTTGGCAATGCTTATGATTAGCTTTTTCCTTCTCTTCCTGTTTTTGTTCAGAGTTGTAGCTCCATTTTTGAAGCTTTGATCAAACATCAGGCTATTGCCATTCTAAACATGTAAGAGCATGTCACAGCTTAGTTGAAGGCAATAAGTATAGGTTTTTCTCAGTTTCTGCTGTTTCTAGTTCATGAGTTGGTGGGTGTTGCTGTTAGTGGATTGTGCGGTGTTTTTGCCTTGCAATAGAGGAAATGAGATAGTATTGTCTTGCCCAGTTCAAAAGCTACTTTTTGGAGGATTCCCTCTGAAGGGGGCCACATTCATCTTTTTCCTGCCACCAATACAAAGAACAAGTACTTATTTTTTTGAAACCTGGAACTTTGACCGCAACAGATACATCTCCTTTTCTCCTCAATTTTTGGACCCTCTTGAAGGACACTGAGACTTGGTGATATAAATGTTTTGCACTCCTGTTTTAGGAGAAACTAGAAGATGAATAAAATCTGCTGTTTCCTGTCTATAACCCACTGCTGCTTTCTTCCTGCATGTTGAAATGGTTTGATCCTTTGGCAGCAAGGTACCCTTATTAGTTGGACTTTGTAAATATTGTCAGTGTTACCTGTGAGCAGAGGTAGTTGGTGTCAATGTTCAGTATTGCATGCCAGCTGTCTGAAGGATCATGTGGATGTGGCTTATAGTTGAAACTTCTTAAGTATTTTTTTTTTTTTTATTAAAAAAAAGTGCTGATATTTTGAACTGTGAACCAGGCATCTTCTAGAAATAGGAATGAAGGCTGGGTTTCACTCTGGAACTGGAAGTAAGCTAATTTCTGGTAACAAAGACTGATTGGTGTTAGATTATATATATTTATGGGATGTTTGCTTTCTTGGACTGGTGTGTCTCAGTGTAGTCCTGGTCAGGGTGTAGTCCATCTTGGCTCTTAGGTATGTATTAACCTAAATGAAATAGAATTGCATCATTTTAGTGGCATGGAAGTCTTTATATCCATAAGGAGAATTGTTTTAAGCCTTACTCTGGAAAGTTGGTGCTTTCAGAGGCTTTTTTTCCTAAAGGAGAGCGATTTAAATGCCTTGGGCATTTTCTTCAAATCATGCAAGAAAGGAATTGGTGGGCACATGGCAGTAGTGGTGGTTAGTGGTGCATGTTAACTTACGAGATCAAATGCTAAAGTTCACAGATCCTGTGATTCAGAATTTTTTCCAGTGTGTCACCAGGACATCAACTCTGCCTGATCTAAGCTGTATCTGTTTTGCATGCGTTTGTCAGAAGGAGAAGAATGAGGCCAGGGACTATTGCCAGGCCTAGCACAATTCAATAATGGAAAGAGCTGAATCTTGCTGCAAAATGGTGATGAGGGTAAAAAAAAAAATGGGGGAAAACCCCTCTACCATGCATTCTAAAACTTCAGCCAGATTTTTGTCTTCAAGCAGGCAGGCTGTATGAACAGCTGGCTGGAGTAGGAGAAATTAACTTATTCCTTCCATATTTACTAATTTCTGAAACAAAAAGCCTGCTAAAGGTTTCCTTGTGGTTGGTGTGTTTGATCTGTGTGTTATATCCAGCATCACTATAGTTGTACATGCAAAACTAATTCAGCTCGGGCAGGATCTTGTGAGACTTTGGTCTGCTTGAGGGTAGAGAGGCATCTGCAAATGTTCCTATAAAAAGCCTTTTCCTAAGTTTTGTACAGGGTCTTCTGGTGATGGCCCCATGAAGCCCTTTCACCCTTGGTGTCTCTAGAAGTATATATCCTGTGAACTGGAGTATTTTCTATTACTTTGTGTGGCTTTCAAGCTCATGGAATTGCAGACAGTCCAACAGAGATGTTTTCTGATTAGTTTACCCCATCTGAGCTGTGAAGGGCAGGGCAGGGGGAAGATTAGGTAACGCTGGAAGAACAGAATCAGGAGACCCTCCATTGGTCTTGTGCAATACCTCTGCTGCATGATTATGTATATATATATTTTTAATCCTGTTTATACAAGTCATCTTCACTTTGTTTTGCAGCTTATTTTTTTTCACTATGGAAGTGGGACGTGTTTTGCCTGTACAAGAGACTTTCCTGATAGTTTTGTTGTTGTGTTTTTTGTTTTTTTTTTTTTCCTAACTTGTATGATCTGTAGCTTTGAAGAGGATTCCAGTCTCGTGACCCACAGTACTCAGTCTGCTGAAGAAAGTCCAGTCTACTGTGCTGTCACCTTCACCAACATGGAGAAGTTGTTATTGGAAAGACCTGTTACTAAGGTACTCATTGCTCTTTGGGGAATACTGTTTGCCTGCCTTTCTGTCACCAGAACTTGGGAAAGCCCTATCTGTTTTCAGAGGGATTTCTAGGTTTTTTTGCTGGAATGCTGTGGAGGTAGGTGCTATTGAAACCAGTGGATTTTCTGGGAGGGTTGTCCTTCGTGACCACAAGTAGCAGTGCAGAGTCTTTTGGCATTGTTTTCTAACTGGTCACCAAATAGTCTTACTCTGCTCCTCTCTGCTGGGAGTGGGAAGGTTTTGTTTCAGACAGCTGGTTTTCTGATGTGGGAGGTATAATTCTCCCATGAGAGTAGTCCTGTTTCTTGATATTTTGGGAGGCTAGTTATACCAAGCACATGCTCAGTGTGTTTAAATTATCTTCATTCAGGGCACTGTATTGAGCTTTTGCACTCATTGTTGCAGTGCAGGATTCTGGTTTTGGTGATAAAGATTTGGCAAATCAAAAATTATGCTGAAATGCTTTCCCATCTTCACAGTACTATGGAAACATAACTGACCATTAAACCAGTCATTATTTACAACCTTTTTCAAATAAGGGAAAAACAAGATTGGGACACTTGAGGATGGGATTTGTCTGAGACATACTATGCTCTCTCCCCTAATGCATGGGTCTTAGGTATAGTGACAGGATCCCTTCTAGTCAGTGACAAAACCTGTTCTTGGCTATTAAAAGCTACTTGTTGCCATTGCCCCTTTTTGGCTTACAGGCAATACTGCTCTCTTGAAAACTACCACCAGGGTAGTTTCTGCTCAGGCTTCCCTCTGAAGGAACTGCGTGATGAAACACTAGACTGGAAATAGATACACTGGTGAAGGGACAGAGACAGGAATAAGGACTCATTAGTAACATGATTTTTAGCTATTGCAAGGCAGGCAATGATGTGAATGGTTTCCCATGGTGTAGAACTTTGATAGTCTCAAAAGATGCTCTGACCTTGTTACAGCAGAACATATGAATCTCTCTTGTTTGTTTGTTTGTTTGTTTGTTTTTTCATATCCCCTCCCCCAAGGATGAAAAGCCTACACTTCCTTCCCAGGAGAAGCCAGATACAAACTCATGCCCTCATGTACCTGTCAAATATTTTCTCCCTGGTGGAATGGACAATGAGAATTGTAAGGCTAGTGAGAAGGAAAGGGAGTGGATCCGCCCTGATACACCCAGCAAATGCACGTGGAAGCTTGGGAAACCCCTCTCGGCCTCCCCTCATCGTCATACCACTCTGTAAGTATTACTTTTGTTGATTTTCAGTACAGCACTAATCCAGGTCCCCTTGGAGCCATGTGGATTTAACAAAAGATGACTGATTTAAATTGATACTGTTTGATGTGTAAATGTGCTGGCGCTTCTTAATTTCAAAGTATAAGCAAAGCTAGGAACCCACATTAAGCATACAAGGGGCCTTGCACTAAAGATGTGAAACTACATGGACTGGAACTAACTTATTTTAAGTAACCTGGCAAGCAGTTCCCTGACTAGATGAAAGATTGCACTGTTAATGCCTTTTGCTTGTAAAATAGCTGACTGAGTACTGCTCAGCTACTTCGTGCCAGGAGGAAGTGCAGAGCACTTCATTCTTGCCTCAGCACTTGACTTGATGTCTGATTAATCCTTGTTTTGGATCAAGGACTTGATGTTTTGTGTATTTGTATCCAGTGGACATTCTTTTAAACCAAAATATCTAAAATAAGTAGCCTGATAAAGGGGAGGGAGAAAGCTGGTTGAAATAAAAAGCATCAGAAATAGTGTTGCTTTTGTGTGACCTGCCTGTGGCCCCTTCTGTGAATACACTGACTTTTCTTGTATGTGTACCAGGCCAGAGCCTCTGAAAATCCTGCCAAGCATCCTGAATAAAGTCGGCAATACGCCCTTGGTGCGAATCAACAAGATTGGGAAGCAATATGGGCTCAAGTGTGAACTCTGTGAGTACTGATGCAGGCAGAAAATCAAAAGAAACATGGTTTCAGAAACATGGGTAGTCCTGGTTAGTAGTGTCATGTAAACTGGGCATAGGAGGAGTGCAGATACCCTGCAGAAAATGGTGAGAAAAATTGTTCTTTTTCTTCAGCAGATTTTCAGGGGTTTAGGATTTGGTCATCTAAAATATCTTTCAAGTTGTACTTCATGAGGACATTTCCTGCATCTTTTCCATTTTTATAGAAAAAGTAAATCTTTTTTCATAGAACATCATTTTTTAACTTTAAAAAAGTTGTATGAAGTTTTTGACTGCTGCTCATGTTCAGAGTATTCATCAGTGTGTGTAAAATGCAGATTTGCAGTTACCACTAAAGATCACTGAAAATTATGAAAGGGATGAAGCTGAGTGAATTTTTTTTTTTGGTTGTTTTTTTTTAAATCCCAGCCACGCTGGAGATATCCAGAGGCTCTGATCAGAGTCCTAAAAGGTGGTGTTTAACACCATTGAAGGGATTAATGCTGGGAGTACTGAAGTGGAAGTGTAGGCTAAACAAGGGAAGAAACTTTCAGTTTGATTAGAAACTCTTTGGCTGGAGAATGTAGCAGGGAAAAGGCAAGGCATGTTGGTAGAGTTCTCTTCCCCCATGCTATTGCGCTGGAAGAACCCTGGGGCTTTTTGTGCTGATAACTGGGTGTAATAAAGAGGAAAAGTGAAAAGAGGGGTCATATTTTGAGGAGACTGGCAGAGTATGGGTTCCTGGTTTCTGTGGCCAGCATCAAGTACCAAACTTAATGTGTTGTTGTGACCCATGACAGTGGAGGTGCTGTGAACTGAATGCCTGTCTCTGGAGTTGTAAAGCAGGGAGTTGAGTTGGGCAGACATGTTAACAGAGTTGCTCTTGCAGATATGTTAGCGATCAGCATCCTGTTTAGCAAATGACTGCTGTTTAAGAACTCTGCTTGGTTTCTTTGTTTCCAGTGGCAAAATGTGAGTTCTTCAATGCTGGAGGCAGTGTGAAGGACCGCATTAGCCTGAGGATGGTAGAGGACGCTGAGAAGGCTGGGATCTTGAAGCCTGGGGACACAATCATAGAGCCAACCTCTGGAAACACAGGTAGGGGATGGAGATACCCTAGAAAAGTGCGTGGGGAAAATGCTGTGGTGTTTTCCTGGAAGAGGCAGACTTGAGATTGAAGTATGGAGGCTGCCTGTGCAAGGAAGAAAAGGGATCTTTTCCTCCCTGCATGGTGTAGGAAACTGTGCCTTTTCCATCTTGCACAAGGAACAATTCTGCATTGTGCTATACTGACCAGAACTGCTGGGAAGGAGGTCTGCTAAATTTGCAGGTGCTCTTTGCTTTAAAAGAAGTGTTAGGCCAGATTCACTGGGGTCTCTAGGTCCTATTCAGGAATTAAAGTCCAACTGAAATTGTCGGAAATCAAGCACCAAAACAGTAGTGTGGATCTGGATCTTCCCCCTTCTGTTTGGGAAGTCCTGTGGTCCTTGTTCCTACACTCTGTCAGGTGAAGTGGACCTGGTTTGAGAAACAGCCTTTTTCATGTGGTGCAGCTGAGATGGGAGATAAGCTTCATCCCTGCAGCACTATCTGCTAACACAACCCTTGCACACCTAGATTTTCAACAGATTCTACTTGGGTCAGCATCTTTTTCTTGGAAGGCTGGAGGAAGGAGGAGTCCCACTAGTCAAAGGCCAGGGCAGAGCATCTGATGATCCAAGCAGTTAACTCTGGGCTCCTGCGTCACAGCTGCTATACTTCTGTTAAGCTGCTCTACTGGTGGGCAGTAAACGTACCTGGAATGTACCCCCTTGAGCTAGTTAAATATAAAATATACTGCCTCTTCTGGGGAGGTTCCTGAGTTGAGCTACTAGTTCTTTCCCTGCCTATGTGCTCCAGAGATGTATCTTGTCCTGTTCTTAAACTCCTTCCTCGGCATCCATCCACCGTTACCTTCTGATAAACACAGGCCAGGCAGATCCTTCTGTTGTTCTTTTAATCCAGTCCAGCCTTTGTTAACAGAGGGAATGGGATGATGAGCCTATCTGTGACCAGTTCCCCTGCCTTCAGCAGAAGACTGGGAATTCATATCTGTTGCTGTTTGCTCAGCAGGTGCTCTGTGGGGGGGAGCAGTGCAACTGAAGCCCTTGTGACTGCTGTACCTCTTGTCTGAACAATGGCATGTAGTGGAAAATATCCATACATTGTATTTCTCCAGTATCTGAGGTCATACTATGACATCCTGCTTTCTGGGTTAGTACCTGATAAATGGTTCTCCTTGCCACAGAATTCAAAAGATAGAAATAAGGCAGAATGCAAGGAGGTATGGGACAATTAGTTCAGAAAGCTGTCTTTTTTCATTTAAAAGCAAAGACCAGGGTAGACAGTAACCTGAAAGAATTGGCTTTTGTTCTAGGCTAATTCTCAGAGCTACTGTGTATGTTAAACATGAGAGCTAACATGTTATATTCTTGTCATCTCTGCATCCCACTTCTTCCTCACACAAAGTCCTGTTTTAATGTTTGCTGCATTTCCAGGTCAGTAGCAGAACGTACACACTGTTAAGACTTCTGGTCTCAAAATGCTTTCTTTGTTACAGATCATAAGGGAGGATGCTGGTTGGCTTCTCTTCAGTCTTTAGTGAGGCCTTTGCGGTCTTATGTATGTTTTTTGGTTTTTGTTTTTTTTTAAATTTTGGCATCCATATTTATCTATAGTATACTGGGAAAAGTTTTGGGGTTTTTCTCTCCTCCCAAATATTTAAACACTACTTAAAGTACTTGAGGTGTGAGTTACGCTTCTTTTACAGGAACAGTTAAAGACTTTTTTTTCTCTCTCTCTAAACCCTACACAATTTGGCACAATGTAGAAACAGAGCCAGCTTTTGAATAAACAAGTATCTGTGCAGGATAAATTGCCTGTGAGGCATTGTCATAGGCATGCGTTGGTATTTTGCCTGGTCCCCAGAACAGCAGGGGAGGTGCCATGCAGCCTGACCTCAGACACATATCAGCTAACTTGATCTGTTTAGCTTATCCAGGAGAGAGGTGATCAGATAACAGGTGTGAGCTTCTCTTCTATGGGGAAGGCACTTCTGAGCTTAGCTCTTCAGGTAGGCAGACAATGACAAGCTGGAAGGCAGAAATCAGGCTGGAGGTACAGATTTTTAAAGTAGAAATGAGGTACCTGTCTTTAACAGTCAGGGTACTTTGGTAGCAAGTTGTGCATTAGAACTGCAACAACACACAGCATCTAATCACATCTTTTTAATTTTGGCACGCTGCAAACTAGGTATTTCATACAGAAATGAGTCAATAGAGGCTCTAATACTCTTCTGACAGTGTCAAAATGATTGCTGTAGTCATCTTCAGCTTAAAGCTCATTCTTTTCCCAAATTACTTCTGTGAAAATGGAGTGGTTGAGACAGGAGGAAGGTGATGTGCGTGTGGTAAAGCTAGCAGTTTGCACATGACAAGTTTCCCCACCCTTGGCTAAACTTTCTGTTGGCTGTGATCCTCAAAGAACTAGCAGCATCTGTAAATCCAGTTCTCCTCAGCAGCCAGAAATGTTCACTTTGCCACCCCTCTAGAGACATTGTATTCAAGGCTCTGGTGAAAATCTGATTAAAGTCAGGTCATGCCAAAGCTAGCATTGTGGGTTTTGTTCTTTGCTCTTCACTGTATGCTCTACATGTCTTTGCTTGCTTCCAGGAATTGGGCTGGCCTTGGCTGCAGCAGTGAAGGGTTACCGCTGTATCATTGTGATGCCAGAGAAAATGAGTATGGAGAAGGTCAGATACGCTTTTATTTTCAAGAATTAAAAAATAAGCATGTTTGCACTTGCAGAGTTCCTGGTGCAGATGACTGCTGTGGCTTTAGCAATGGAGGTTTAATCGCTTGACTTTCAAGTCACTGGCTAAGCAGAACTCTGCTGAGGGCCTATTGCCGGTGTCCAGAGAATTCCAGGCTGGCTAGCCATGGGCAGAAATGTGTTTAAGACCCATCCCCACAGTATTGTCACTTGGAAAACTGTGATAGCTGTTTTAAATACAAATGTCAAAGGAACTTGAGATTTACCTATCACATCGAAGTAACTACCTGCCCCTAGGTTAGTTGTCACTTCCTGAGCAAAGGACAAAGGAAGGCGATGCTGAAGTTTTGAATATTCTTCTGTGCTGCACTGGGCTGAGCAAGGCAATGAGGGAGCCTGCTGAGCTCCTCAGGTTACACTGGCAGGTACTAGCAAGTATCCGAGTTGTCACCACAGCAACAAAGGGGAAGGAAAAGCCACCTGGGTAATGTCCATTTACCTTCACTATAGAAAACACAAAATATCCAGCTCTAGAGCAAGCTTTGTCCTGTGCTCCACTAGGGTGGTGCTGCACCTGCAGCCAAAAGAAAAGAAGAGATCCCCTGAGTTTCACAGTTGAGGCAGCAAATTGCTGTCAGCAAAACTACTTGTCTTGGTTCAAACACTTCCAGCATTGCAACTGGAAGGCAGTGGCACAAATGAGAGCAATGTCCCCTGAAGGCCTATATCCATTACTTGCTCTTACCTGCTCTGGAGGGAGAGGTACCACATGGCCATTGCCATGTGCCATGCAGCACCAAAGGCCTCCCCTCTGAAGACAGGCCTTGCCTTAGCTCAGTGTCATAATCCTTCTTGCCCTCATAGCAAGTGGTGCATAGGGCCCTGGAGGATCTCCTTCGCTGCCTGTATCCAGGGGAGGAGGTAAATTTATATATTTTGCACTTAAACGTAAAATACTGGGCTATAGCACTGTTGGAGTGCAGAGCATACGTGCCTGGCATGAAAGGAGGTGGTGTTTTGCCTGAATGAGGCTTCTTAATGTGTAGTACTAGTGCCTATGAGCCTGAAGGCCTGGAATAGAATCAGAAGTCTGACATTTAGCTCCCAAATAGAGCTTGATTAAGATCAAATGAAATTAAGGATTTGAACTGATGGATCAGTGATGTGAGGTTGGGGTCTAGGAGAACTGCTAAGGTGGCTATTGCAGACCAGGTAAAAGGGAAGATGTTTTCTTTTTCCCTCCATCCCAATGAAGTCTCTGTGCTGGGAGAGTATTTGGGGGTTTTATGACCTTTGTTTGCTACAGGTGGATGTCCTGAGAGCTCTGGGTGCTGAGATTGTGAGGACCCCAACTACTGCCAGATTTGATTCTCCTGAATCTCATGTGGGAGTAGCATGGAGACTGAAAAATGAAATCCCCAATGCACATATACTAGACCAGGTAAGAGCCAAGCTGTCAGAGGTGCAGGTGTAGTGTGGGAGGGGGTATTGCAGCCTTGTTCTTTCGTTCTTGGTTGACCGTTCAACAGCATAGGTGTGTCTCTGGAGGAAAAGATGTTCCAGGTCTGGAGCTGTAGCTGAGCCATCACTGTGCTGTTTCGGCAGCAGGCTTTTATAGTCACAAGAGGGCAGCAACGAGCCTGTGCTTGCAGAAACTGCAAAACACAGGGGTGGCTTTTTCCACTGTATCGGCAGTCCTGTGTAGAGGAATGGGTACAAGGGTCATGTTCCTAAAAGATACTGTCCTGCAGACAGGACTGATCTTGACATTGGAGGGTGCTGGCACCTTAGAACTAACCTTAAATTAGGTCACTTCAGAAGGTTGTATCTCCCCTCAGGCATTCTGCCTAGGTTCAGATAATAGGTAAGGAAACAGTCTGGAAAGAATGTATGTAGCTGTCGTAGGGCTTGTGGAATGTTTGTCATGTTCTTCAAATGCCTCACAATGTGAATTTTGTCTTTCTGGTCTACTTAATGGCTATTCTGTCTTCCAATATAGTACCGTAATGCCAGCAACCCCCTGACGCACTATGACACCACAGCTGAAGAGATCCTGCAGCAGTGTGAAGGTATGTTTGCTCTACTACTAGCCCCCTCTTCAGTGAGTCCCTAATATTCTCTTATTGTTAGGTACTTGGATAATGGGACCTGAGGTGGTTGAGAAATGCATGGATTTTGATACAGCAAATCCAATACATATGCTGTGTGTCATTAGAGTTTCTAGTCATTATTTCAGTAGCTGTAGTTATGAATTTATTTTTTTCCATTAAGGAGGGGTGCTTTGGTTTTTATACTCCTGCTTGTGATCAGGTGGAGAAAGCAGTGATGCTTTAAAATAAAACAGACATAGCTAGAGTAGCATGAAAGAACAGGGTCTTTTTTCTCTGATTGCAAATAGAGAAATAGGTATTTTTACATTCTCAGACCAAATACTCCATTACACTTGATGTTTCTTCAGTTAGGAGTCCTCAGGAGTACAAAATGTTGCAGTTGTCACCAGTAAGACCTATTTACTCTGCAGAGGTCACTTCAATGTTAGCTGTAGGCAGCTGAGTTGGAATACTAGAAGTGATTGAGCTGTGGCAGCAGAGAGCTTTGGCTGGGCTAACTCACCCAGCTGAGGAATTGATTTGAGAGCTACTGGAGGCATTCAGTGTGATGCTACAGCCTACCATGTAGGCATTTGCCATAGATGGTAGAAGGAAATCATATAGGGGGCTGCTGACCTGCTTTATAGGAGTACAGTTTCTGATGGAACCCTCTAATAAGAAAATCAGCTATTAAATTCCTTCTTGTTAAGGTGAAGACCATGCGAAAGGTTCTCTTCCTCCCTCTCAAAAGTAACTCTAGCTGTTCAGAAGTTTTGGCTTGTCTTTGTGGCAAACTTTCTTTAAGTTTCAATTAAAACAAGTGTACTTTAACAAACTGCCATCCCACAAACTGAGAGTCTAGATGAGTTCTAGCTTTAGGCTTCTTGTTTGCATTTACTGTTCCTCATAGGCCAGGCACTGCTTAGATATTACTGAGCTTATATCCCTGCTTGGCAGGATGTTATTCTTTTTGACTGGTAAGCATTTGTTTTTTGTGTGTGAATTGGTGACATTTTAAAATGTATTTTTTTAGTAACAGAGTTGTCATATGGATGCACAACAGAAACTGTAGGGGGTGGCAGAAGAATGAACTCTGAGTGCTCATGACCAAACCAGTAATTTTCACATGAAAATGAGAGAGTAGTTGTGTTAACAGTTCTCTCAATGAATACCTATCCCACGCTCTTGGCACTCATTCAGTAGATTAGCTAATGTAATGGGCTGCTCATTCTAAGTTAAAGAATGGATTATTTACTTCAGCAAATAAAGTAACAAGAAAGCTACAGGTGTCAGCTGTATGGACCACCTCCAGCTCTGTCCAAAGTACCACAAATTGGTGCCTTGCCAGGCCACTGGATGGACATTTCAAAACCATTGTTGAAGTAAGTGGAGGTTGAGCAAGGTGGTCTCAAGGTAGGTCTCATAACACAACTCTTGTGAAGCAAAGAGTCTTATACTGCTCATTTTTTGTTAAAGAAAGGTCTTAGATTAAAGTATGTTTTTATTCATTCTGGGGAAGATTTCATAACTGCCTTCTCTCTCTCACCTTTAAACAGGAAAAATAGACATGCTGGTAGCTACAGCTGGCACAGGAGGTACTATCACTGGCATCTCCAGAAAGCTAAAGGAGAAGTGTCCAGGTTGTAAAGTAAGTCTCAAACCTAAAGCATTTCTCTTTAGCGGGGTGAACCTTAAACTGCTCCATTTGGCATGTCCCTTTCCTTGCCAGCCTGCCCTGGATCTCTGTGGGAAGCTGGGATGTTCTCAGTTAGAAGGTGGTTCCGAGCAGCAAAGAAAGTTTTTCAGACTGTCTGAAATCATCATGCTCTGGTCTCACTGGTGACCAGAGTTCAGGTTTCACTCAGCAGATGAAAACTGGCCCTCGGACCCCTTCATGGGCTGTCTGAGAAAATTCCTTTTCTGGCATGTACTGCAGCCTTGTGTTTCCCCTCTGACTGTGCCTTCACTAACTTGTTGAGCTGCTGAGTTTTTACCCAGTGAAATTTTCTCTGCACACACCAACCTGTGTGTCTACCTGTGTGCTGTGTTAGTTTTCCTCACAGAAGTTGGTATTGTGCTTCAATCATGAATGTTTTCCTACATAGGCAGAGAGTGGTAAACAAAACTTATCTGCTTACACTTGGCACAAAATGTATTGGCTGTAATGATGCCTGACGTGTGAATGAGGATAATCATGTCTCGGGGAAACCCTGCCTTCTGTTTAAACCAAGCAAAACCCATGTAGAAGAAGTGGTGCCCCTCACTTAGTGTCCATAGCCTGAGGAGGCAGGATGAGTTACCAAAGGGCCAGAAGCAGCAAAGCATTTTGTGTACAGGAGAGTTGAATGTTGCCAGGAAGAAATGAATAGGAGACTAGGTTGCTGTTAATTTGACTGTGTGTGCAGCCAGTGTGCCACCAACAGCTGTAATAAGGCCAGCGGCCCTGAGTAAGTAGCTGCATTCTCAAAAGCAGTGTGTCATGGTAGCCAGTGTGGAAACTGCTTCTCCAGATCATAGGTGTTGATCCTGAAGGCTCCATCCTTGCTACACCAGAAGAACTGAACAAGACTGACAAGACAATGTATGAAGTGGAAGGAATCGGATATGATTTTGTCCCCACAGTGTTGGATAGATCTGTAAGTGATGCTTCTTGGTTTACTGCCCTTTACCCTCTGCTGGGATGTAGAAGTGAGGTGAAAGATGGAGGAAGAACTTGGGGAAGTATTTTTTTGAGCTGAAAGAGGAGGGCTGGCTAACAGATCTATTCATGTTATTCCTGCAAAAGCAGTCATCAGAAGGCTTCTGCACTGACCACTTTTTTTTTTTTTTTTTAACAATGCTAGGTCAAGATGCTATGAGCAGGTAACATTTTCCTAGAACACAGTACTTTTAAATCCCAACAAAGCACCCCAACCCCTCCCGGTAAAAAGGGTTATGACTGTCCTGAGCAGAGCCTGTGTCCCTGGGAGGCCCTCCAAGAGGGAAGGGAACTGATGCTGTCTGTGGCTGTCTCACAACAGCCTGTTCCAACAGCGAGGTTTCAATAAGGAGCCTGTTGTGCTAATGTGATCGTCTTACCTTGGCAAAAAGACCCCACTTGGCATTTGGAGGATGGAAACCCAGGCACGTGGCTCTGTAGGGCAGCTGTTACCTCAAAGAGCACGGGCTGAATTCACACTAGCTGTGTAGCATCCCTAGCCTTCCTCGTTTAAATAGACCCTTGTGTCTGTCTTCCTGCCCCTTCCCAGACAGTGGACCAGTGGTACAAGAGCAATGATGAGGAGTCATTTGCTTTAGCACGCATGCTGATCCGAGAGGAAGGACTACTGTGTGGTAAGAACAAATTCTTTGGGTTTCTTTGAATAGCATGTAGGAGGCTGAAGCCTTGTGCAGGATAGGGAGACCTCCTTCTTTAGAAGCTGTCTTCCTCACCCTGGGCTTCTCTACTGTCTCTTCCTCTCTTTCATTCTTTCTCATTTCACTTATGGTTTAACAATTTTGCCCCTGATCTGCATTTTGGCAGGTGGTAGCTCAGGCAGTGCCATGTCTGTAGCTGTGAAGGCAGCCAAAGAGCTGAAGGAAGGTCAGCGCTGTGTTGTTATCCTCCCTGACTCTATCAGGAACTACATGTAAGAACCTGCTTGTTTTCTCTCTGGGAAAAGAATGAGGCAGTTCCTCAGACCTCTTTACAGCAGTGGCGAGTTGAATATGTATTTCTTACAGCACTCAGTTACCCAAGCAAGGACTGTGTTTGGGGCACAACTTCTGAGGTAACTAGAAAGGGCCTGACAGATTAGAAAGGAGCTTAGCCCTCTGAAATCTGAGCTCCTCCTTGTGTCTGACTTCAGTATATAACCATCACTGGTTAGCATCTTTTGTAGGAAAAGACTTGCTTTCACTTTTTTATTTATTGTGACCATTGGCATTATCCCATTCCCGGGAGGCTCCCTGTAAGGCTGTCTGCTCCCTCTGCCAATGTCCATAGCAGAACACAGCACAACTGTAGCAGCAGCCAGTGTTGGGGTGAGTTTACAGGTGGAAGTATGAGGGCTTTGAGCTGTGCTGAGAAGTTTCCCTCTTACCACATCGAAACATATCCCAAAACATGGTGGTTTTAGCTGTGTTTCCTGGCTTCTGTTGCATCCAACACAATACTAGGTGGCTAGAAACTGCAGACAGACCTTGCATGAGTACAGGTTGGCACTTCTCCATTCCAGGCTGTGTGTGTCATATTGCAAGGGACTGATGTAGTGTTTCCTATGGGGTTCCTTTTTCTTCCCGTGAGTATTTCTTCTCAATGTCCCTGACTGGTAAGCTTGGATGACAAATGACAATATATTTTCAATTGCACTTTAGTTGTTAGTGGTAGTGAGCCATAAATAGTTGCCTCTATGTGCTATTAGGTTTGCTGTCAGATATTCAGCCTGCTACTCAGATTTTCACTTCCTGATGCTTTTCAGGTCCAAGTTCTTGAGCGACAAATGGATGATTCAGAAAGGGTTCATGAAAGAAGAAGACCTTGTCAAAAAACCTTGGTAAGCAAGTCAGATCAATTTGGATTTCCATGTTTCTATTCAATTGACTTTGTGGCAGTCGCTAATTTAAGGCTCATTTCAATTTACACTGCTTCCTTTGATTTATCTAATCTTTCATGCTATTGTGTTGCTGTATAATTGCAGCTATTAATCAAATCCGCTTAAATAAGTTGATTTCCTTTGCGTTGCATGGCAGTGAAGAAAATGGTGATTAATGATTTTTTTTTTTAACTTAATTAAAAGGGTTATATCTGAAATGAAAAAGTAGCATACAGAGAAGCCTTCTGAGATCAGAGTTCTTGAGTGCAAGCATTGCAAGTCTATGTAGGTGGAGGGGGATCTTCCCTAAATTGCTACCTATAATGACTGTAAACATGACTAACTAAAATTTTCTGTGTACGATATAAATAATGAAACTAAGGAGATTAGTACTCTCCACTATCTGTAATCCTAGAAAGCAGGTGAAATGAGGAAAAGAGTTTTGGTCTTAAAGCCTTCTCACACTTCAGTGACTTTCTGATACTGGGGAGAAAACTTGAAAGCCTTGAAGCTTTACTGAATCCCAACTCTTCTTTGAAGTTTTTTGCCATTCCTGTTGTGTTAAAGGCCACTGTACATGAACAACTGGTTCTGTTCTCTCCATAAGATTTGCGTGGGTTTGGTTTTTGTTTCATCCCCCAGGTGGTGGAACATCAGTGTTCAGGAACTAAGCCTCTCTGCTCCCCTGACTGTGCTTCCAACTGTTACCTGTGCAAAGACTGTTGAAATTCTCCGGGAGAAGGGATTCGACCAGGTACCAGTTGTTGATGAATCTGGGTATGTCCACATATATCACTATTCATCCATATGTATCACTTCCCTCACCAGGTTCCAAGGGATGTTTTTCAAATGCTTGCTAGAAGTGTAATATCCTCTCACTCATCTTTCTTCAGTTATAGTAACACAGTTCAGAAATGTTACCTTAAATACACCAGTGCTGGACTTAGTATGTTGTCATGCCAGGACTGTCCTGCCCTTCACATAGTAAGCTTCTAGTGATTATGATGATATACTTACTCAGTGTGTTTCTGCAGGATAATTTTACTGTTTTTTCTAATAGCTATTTAACTTCACAAAGCAAAAATTCATCTTTAAAACAACCCCAAACCTACCCATTTCCACCACAGCTTTCACCCAGTTTTTTTCAGAACACTGCATTATAGTGCAATATTGTAGTGACTCCTATAAACCAGAGTGTCCCCAGCAAGCTGGTCTGCCTTATTACCCTGTAGGTCTCCTGTAGGACAGGCTGAATAATGAAGAGTTGCTGAGTTACTCTCCAGTTACAGTGCTAACTCAAGGGATTAATTGTTCCAGATCCTTGCAGGGAGAAGGGGAATAAGAAAAATTGAGGCAAGCATGTGTCTGGCCCTGTCGCACCTTTCAAAAGGACAAATGAGGGTGTAAAACACTGAATTTGTGCTTTTTGAAAGCTCTCTCAGGTTGCAAGAAGCTCTCCAGTTACAAGGGCTAGAGATACAAGGAGTCTGATGCTCAGAATGGCCAGGCACCCACAGCAGCTGCTGACTTCTGTGTGAGTCTGCAGAACTTCTGAGAACTGGGCTCTTGTCTTCTACAGAGACACCGAATCCAAGTATACCATCAATATTGTTACTTTATACCATGAAGCAGTTGAACCGAGTTCTCCAGGCTGGCCGAGAGTGGATGCTTTTATCTACAGGAACACTTGAGGCTTTTGTGTTGTTTAGCTCTATCTTCTCTCTCTCCTTCCCCAGTGTGATTTTGGGCATGGTTACCTTGGGTAACATGCTTTCTTCACTGCTTGCTGGAAAAGTTCAGCCTTCTGATGAAGTCGGCAAAGTAATCTACAAGCAATTCAAACAGGTAAGCAGGTATATTGTACAACTCCTAGTTCTCTGGTTTAAAGTACTACTGTAGGTGTCCTAACACTACAGTGGCACCAAGCTGAGTAAGGTTTATCTGGGACTGTACAGAGCAGCTGTCACTGAGCACAGATGGGCTCTAAACTCTATCGTAGGTCATTCAGGAGCTCCCAGGTTTGTGTTGTGGCTCTGTATCGTGCTGTTCCATTACTCAACAGGCTTTCTTATAGCATGCTTGTCTTTTCCCCCTTCCTCAAAAACCATGGCACAAATCTGAGCAGTGTAACTGTTGAGGGGAAGAGACAGGGAGACGTTGAAACAGCTCTTCTAAGTAAGTTCTGTATTGGCTAAAAACAAGCAGCTGCCTTTTGTATCAGATACCTGGCTGAAACAGGGGGCTGGCTGCTGAAAGCTGATGTTGTCAAGATATGTGAATTTTGATGTTAGCCAGCTTCACCTGTCTGTCCAGTGTGGTGTGCCAAGATACCACAACTTCCCAGCTGTATGGGTGCTCTTCTAAAATATATAAGTATTGTTGTTAATGCTTTGCTTCTCTTGCAGGAAAAGGATTTTGTTTTTAACTTGGAATGCTTGACTTAGTTTTCACCAGGCTTTTAGTTTCAACACTGTCTCATATTAGATGAGGTGCTGTGTTCTAGAAGTCTGTGTAACGCTTCCATTCAATCTACAAACTATCAAGTCCTTGGGGTTGAGAAAAGATGCTAGTTCTTAATGGAAAAATGTAAATATATTTTTTCCTTCACAGACAGATAATCAAGCATCAGGTGGAAATGTGGTGCGTAACAAAACTGCTTAGTTCATGTTCTCCCTCACTTGGACACCTTAAGAGTTTCTGGGGCTGGTGGTGTGCAATCACTTCTGAAGCTACACTGGTGTTAGCTGTAGTAGCCAATTCTCTGCATTTCTGAGGTTGTGGCTTTTTTCCATGGGCAGCTTGGTTTCTCATGCTTCTTCAGTAAAGAACAGCTTAACCATTTCTCTTTTGAAGTTCTGACTTTTTTCTTGGTGGAGTATGGAAGGGGAGTGACACAAAAATGATGGTATTGCTAATGTGCCAATTAAAAGCATCATTCATTGGTTATTTTCCATTTGAATTGATGATTTAATGGAGAAACATGGTTTAATGCACATAACCTCAGAAGTATTGTGGATTTTGCTTTTCTTACTACTTTAGTCAAGCTTATGTGGCTTGTTTACTGGTGAAATTGGGAAAACAGATCATGTGTGTCACTGAAATGACTTGGGATATCCTACAGTTACGACCTGTACTACAGCATGCATCAATAAGAGGTCAGCTTAGCCTGTGGCTACCAAGGCAAAACTATCTTTTGGCAATACATGAAACTTGCTTTGATATGGTTGCCGCAATTACTTTGTGGTGATCTCTTTCAATGGAAGAGTAATGGTTGTAGCCTTTTTAAAGTCTCTGGTAGGATAGTACTCTAGGGCTTTGGAACACTAGTCATAGGATAATTTGCTAATCCAAACAAGTGCTGTGTGTCAGTGGAGAGGAGGGACATTTTGTGGAGTCATGTGCTCTAGTGGTTTGAGGTCTCTCTACCCCTTCTTCCCCAAAGGATCCTTGCATCAACTGCTAACATCTGTTAGATGTGGTGCAGACATTAAGGCCTTAGCAGACTTCTTGTCTGCCTTTACCAGAAAATAGGGCTGTGGCACAGTCTCTGACACTTCTTGTTACTATACCTAGTGTTTGTTAGCCTGTTCCCTGGTGTGATTTTTGGTTAGTGTCCTAAACCATTTAGTGCTCTGCTAAACAATGCAAGGTCTGATGTCCCCAGCTTCTCCAGTGGACCAGAGCCTACTACTGGGGAAGGAGGGAATTCAGTTGTAGGGCCATGAGCAGTGCCATTTCACTTGCCCTTAGAGCCAAACAAGCAGTCCCAATCATGTGTAGTATAGTAGCATATGCATAGGCTAATTGCCTTAGACTTAGTAGGTTTTTTTTTTAAAAAAAAAAAAAAAACCAAAACAAAAACCAAAAACAACAAACAAAAACCCCAAGCCTAAATGTGGGGAAACTCCTGGGCATAATTTTTAAATTTTTAGGGGGTTTGAATGAGCAGCAGTGAGACAGGTGAAAACCCTGTGGGGTTTCTGTTTAAAGTTCCATTAAGCATTTCAAAACATGTTTATGTCTTCGTATTTGTCCCAGTGTGGCCTGTGGGCTGCTTGTCCTGGTCATCTTTAGCTTCCGCAGTCCCTGAAAACAGGTCTATGGATCATACACAGTCAGATGGCATGGGGCTCTACCCCTTCAGTGAGCTTTGAACTTAGGTTCAAAAGTTAGGCTTTGCACGTACGCTTGCACAAAACTGCTTGTCAGTGGTGGTGACTGATAGCTGACTCTGTGTCAGTAGGTCCAGGTTTCCCCCCACCCCTTGCCTGGCCCACAAGCTGAAGGATTGATGCTTCAGTGTGTGCTGTAGTCTGGTGATCCCTTAAGCACAGGCTGCTGGGGATCCTTTTGATCTCTTCTAGCTCACAGTACGGAGATGAGAGCTCTATGTTCCAGTGCAGCCCAACTGTTCATGTTGTGGCATTTATTCCTCAGTCACAAGCTGAACTCACTGCAGGATAAAGGCTTTTTTAACCTGCTGTGCAAGACTTTTCTGTGTTATAAATTCTTTTAATTGCCTTTAATGGAAGTATGTTGGATGGTGGGTGCTGCTGTTACCTGGGGAGAGTCACCTGGGTAATAGACCTGTTGCTGCTGCTCAATATGCTAAAGCATGTAGGAAGAACAGTTGTATGGATTCTTTCAAATGGATTAGCTAAGTGTTTCAGAAGGATCTGTATTCTTTCTGCAGAGTCAACACAGGGTCCTTTCTTGTTTAGTCCTAAATATTATTTCTTATTGCTCAGTTCTTTGATTTGCACCTGAATACAGTGTTAGCTGAGCAATCCTCACCCTTGGTTTTATTTATGGCTTGTATGGGCTTTTCTCTTCCCTGCTGTCTTTGCAGATCATATTCATTTCCACAGTGATTTGCAGCCTGATTCATTCACTTCCCAGTCCTGCTAGAGTAAAATCACCAAGTAATGATGAGCTTTATGGTAACTTCTTTTGTCAGACACATGGAACACTTGACCTTCTTCCATCTTTAACATTTTTCAGATATTCAGTGTGTTCCATATATGCGTTATGTTTACAGAATCAGAATTCATAACTTCATGTAGTGCTTCATGTTTTTGTTCTGTTTTCTTGGAAATTAGAAGCAAAGAAAACTGATCTAAGTTGGCCTGGATTTGTTAGTGTTTCACAATACTTTGGATGGGAGCAGTATATAAATACCAATGTATTGGTTTTAATACTGCATGAAGCATATGGGGATTATCAACCACTAAACATATAAAGGACTGTTCTTTTTAAGTTTTGTAACTCTCTCCTCAGATTAATCTGAAAGACAACTTGGGGAAACTCTCTCATATCCTGGAAATAGACCACTTTGCTCTAGTGGTTCATGAACAAATTCAATGTGAGTATGATCTGCTATGCCTTGTAACAGGTAATCTTTGAGTGGTCCTAAGCAGCAAGTACGAGAGTGAATGTGTAAACAAGTTCTTCATAAGCCAGATCCTGTTTCTGTGTGTGTAACTATGTGCTACTAACAGTTAGTAAGACACTAGCACTTTAATTCTTGTGGAGTAAATGTTGAATCCGTTTAAATGGATTTAAATGTTTAACCTCACATACTGTAACGTATGTGCTTTTGGAGCACAGTACTTACTGCTCAGCACTGAATGCCCAAGTCTATTCCACTGTACAGTGGCTTTGTTGGTAGCAGTAAGCCAGGGAATAAGCTCCTGCAGTACAAATGATCCTTGCTTCTTCCTACTCCTGTCTTACAACTTCCAGCAGTTCTGCCACAGTGAGTGTCTCAGGTTAATTACACTTCAAATTTTTGCTATTCTAAAGCAAAAGCTTTATTACCACTTCATAAAGTTTAGTAAGGTCTAGATGTCAACACTGATATCACTGTCTCAAAACAGCTTAATGTTTCTTTTTCCTGTTTATTTAAACTAACTTACTCTCCTTCATTTGACGTTTTTCCTCCAAACTACTTTTCATCATCCTTGTCAAAACTCTTTACACTGCCTTCTTTATGAAGTGGAAATGACTAAATAAATCTTCAAAGCTAGGGTATATCACTGTTATATGTGAATAATATTTTTTCCTATTTTATTTTCCCTATGGCAGGCAACTTGGAAAATTATAAACACTGAGAAACTAGACTAAAAACAATACTAAGACTCACCAGATAAATTTATCTGACAGTTATCTCAATTATAACTGTAAATGAAGATAGCCATCAAATTTGGGCTTGTTCCTGATAATATCCATAAGGATGTGCTCTTGACTCTGTGCTGACTATTTATAAATCTAGAATCTCACTGAAAACTTACAATGGAACAAAGATTGAGTAAACAAATGAAAAGTCCAGGACAATCCAGCTGGCTGAACAAACTGAGTATATAAGTAGGCTAAACATCTTGATACAGGCAGACTTTAGGAAGAGGCAACTTGGAACACAGATAAAGGGCCAGAGGTCACTTGGTTCCCAGGTCAAAGGATTATGCTGACAGTGAAAAACCACTTGAACCTGTGTTCTTAATGCAGCAACGATTAGATGTTTGTTTGTTTGTTTTTTTTAAATAAAGGGGAAAATGTTGTATTGTGATTTTTACACTAATTCTGTATTTGACAGTGGTGTAGGAGGGTGGTAGTGTTGCGCATCATCCTCTAGTGGCCCCCGGTTCAAATGGGGATAATACCAGTTTCAAGTGATTCAAGTAGAGTCATGGAAACTAATGTATGAGGAAAACATGCTTTATAGCAGAGGATTTGGTTTGAATTTTTATGTCAAGGAAAATAAATCTGGTGGACTCTTACCCTTCCTTCCATAACGTTTCAGTTTCTAAATCCTTTTTGTTGGGAGCCTTTCTGAAATGAAAATCCTTGCCACTTCCAATGTGACTGTCGGTCAAGTATGCCATTTGGGTTCCCCCTCAGTGTACAAGGGTCAGCAGTGATAACCAGCTCCACCAACAGGCCCTGATGTGTGGAGCTGGGATGGCCTGGCACCTGCCTTTGCAAACAGTGCTATTAAAACCGAGTGGGATGGTGTGGTTTTGTGCCTCCTAAAGCCAGAATCCCCTCTTTGTTTCTGTGTAGATCACACTGATGGTTCCTCCAGTAAGCGGCAAATGGTGTTTGGCATCGTTACAGCCATCGACCTGCTAAACTTTGTGACTGCACGAGAACGGGAAAGAAAGTCCAACTAAAGTCAAGTAGCAATGTGGAGCTTCTTCAACAATGTTTTGCAATCTCCAACAAAGAATCAGGTTTATTTCTTAGGTAGAATGGTCTGTCCTTAGGGTGTTTTTTCACAAATTCTGAAAATAAACAGTTAGCTATCCTGGTGTCAGCTATACAGCCAGTGCATTTTGCTGTGTTGCACAACTTCAGGGGACTTGTTTCTTAATCAGGTTACACAATATTTCTTATCAAAACAGTTTATTTTTTTATCTATATATATATATTTGTAAAAATATTGCCTAAATTAATTGGTATGTTCCTTACTTGTTATGTCTAAAGTCTGACTTTCCAAGACATTGTTTCAGATTCATAAAATGTGTTGAAATAAAGAGTTACTGAAGCAGAGGCCCGAGAGCGCTCTGGAAAGTTTTGGAATTTTTTTTTTTTGTGCAAGAGTAAGTTAGATAATACCTGTGTGGAAACAAAAATGGGATTGGGGTATGGAGGGAAGAAAGGCATGTCTTCCTTTTGGTGACATCAGTGTAAAACAGGAGAAAATTCTGAGGGCTGGAGTTGAGGCTTGTTTCAACTAGCTGCTCTGAGGAAAAACTGACTTGAGTGGAAGCCTGACAGTGAAGTGACAAACATAAACTAGTGACTTTGTTTTACATGGTGTGCCGGTTTTCAGTATGAAGACAGGCCTTTCTTTTTTTCTCATTGTACCTTGGTAAGTAAGCACGAGTGAAAAGATTAAAAAGTAAGATCAAGCTTCCTGTCTGAAGGTTTTTGAAAATCATGCCGTTTCATCTAGTACCTTTCTCTTACCTCTCCACCCTCTTACTTATCTTAAAGTGCTGCTTCTTATGCCTGTTTTAGAAGAGCCAAAGGTAATCTCTCAAAAGCTTTCAAGTCCTGTTCAGGTGCTCCTACACTCTAGTGCCTTATTCCAGGAGAAAACCCCTACTATTAATTGAATTCCCTGTAGCCAAGTTTGGAAGTAACTGCCAAATGTGATGTGGACTGGCACTGTCAAGAGTACACAAGAGAACTGTACGGTAGGTGTGTGCAGCTACAACTTTTCACCACTTTTGTAACTACAGATTCTTCAGTAATGTCTGAGTTGTGTAGCCCCGTCCCTGCACTGCTGTGCTCAGGCTGCTGACTGCTGCTGCTGGTAATGGTCAGTGGAATCACCCTGTGATTACAGTAGAAAAGTTAGCTGTTCTTCATCTTTATGAAGACTAATCACATTCTGACCAGCCTTTTGCCAAGAATAAAGTTTTTAATCAGCAGGGGTAACGCTTTCACTAGCTTGTCTCTCTTTCAAGCAGAGCATTTGCCTTGGATGCTGCTGCCATGGACGATGGAGAGAAGCACTCAAAGCCAAAGAAGTGACACAGTCGTAGTGTCTGCCCACCAGCGGTGTGACAGCCTGGTTTGTTTTCTAGCTGCTTCTCTCTTACCTTAGATTTGTGAAAGTTAAGAACTTTATTATTACAACAAAAAGCCTCAGACAGATTTCTGATAACTCTAATGCCAAGCTGGCGATTGCTGAGTTTGATTGGCCTTTGTTCAGTTTATTTCCTTAGATGTTGGCTGTCCCTTCAGATCATGGCTATTACTGAAGTAACATGACCCGTGCTTACATTAAACTATGGTTTAGCCATTAAATTAACATGCTACTTTAAGATAACTTTTTCCAAGACTCTGGAATAAACTGCTATAAATCTTAAAAACGTGCAATTTAAATACTAATTAGTTCTAAAGGATGGTGGAGTTTTAATTTTTTTTCTTTTTTTTTTTTTTTTTTTTTTTATTCTTACACTGCGCAGTGTTTTCTTTCTCACTGTTCCCCCTCAGTGTAGTAGCAACCCCAGGTTGGGCACTTTGACTAGTGGAGAGCTTAGCTAGTGTGAGTATCAGATGTGTGTACCTGTGCATTAAAGACACTTTTTTCAAACGTTTTTGAATCTGGATTAGCTTTTCTAGGCTGAATGGTTCTGTCTTACCCCTGTCACTGCTTGGCAGAGCCTAGTTAACTCATCTTTCAAAGTGTATTTTTGATCTACTTCCTAAGGGGGTCATAAATAACTTTGCATGATAGAGGGCCCAGTCTTTGCCCTAAGCACTTTCTAACATCCTCTGTGTTTCTTAGTGTAGACTATCTGAATGGTTGGTTGTATCCCTCAAGGCATTAGTATTTCAGCCAAGCTTCTAAACTACTTTCACAGTTATTTCAAATACTGTTGTCTGATATATTTTAATATCTATTCTTAGTTTACAGGGAAGGCCAAGGGGGACTTACTTGAATATTTGTGTTTTTCCCTCTATCCTTTGATTCCCACACTATTGAAAGAACCTGTGTACTTCACTAGATGCTACTAACTGAAGCGTTTGCTACAACCGTAGCTGCTACTGCTGCTAAATTTTGGCATTACTGTTGCCATTGGAAAATTTACTTGCTTCTATCTGATATTTCCCCTTTTCCCTCTGACCTTTGTCAGTGGTGGTGAGGGGAAGTGCTTAAGTATTTGGGGGTTTTCCTTTTCTTTTTGTGCCTGTAAAAGCTCTATGTACCAGCCTAGCTGAATTCAGCAAGAAATAGGAGGGTAGAAGGAGGTTCCCAAAGTTGCTTTTCAGAACAGCAGTACAAGAGAGAAGTAAGATTGCTGTGTTAAAGTTGGGGCAGCAGCAGATTGATGGGTAGCTTTACCTGTGACACAGAGGAAAGTGTAAAAATTTGCCTTTTCAGATTACTGTTCATAAATTAATCTCTGCAGTGTTACAAAAGCAGGTAGTATTGCTGACTGAAAAAGAAGGGGTGGTTGGAGCTGGTAGGGAAGAGGGGATGTGAGTCTAAAGCAATCCAAGTAAGCCAAAGTATCCAAAGAAATCCACCCGTGCTGTTCTGCCTGTGCAGTTTGGTGAGAGCGGGAGCTGTCTCCTGTTCTGCACTGTTGTGAGGAGGGAACAGTGGCCACCAGCCACCCGTCTGCACAGTAGCAACCCTGTTTCACCAGGAGAATGGGGGGAAATAGATGGTGTTGCTGAATGCCTGAAAAACTTTCCAGAGCTCTTTCCCACAGTAGGGATGAAGGTGGCAGAGAAGTGGAGCGGGAATCCTGTGGGGTTGAAGTTCCTCCGATGCAAAAGCTTATGAGCATGATGCTTTTTTGCACATGTGAGAAGGTTGTCACTAGCCTGGGCCTGGTTAGTAGTGGTAGGGCTGTATTAACACTGGATTCATCTCTTTGTTTCAACACTGTGAGGACCAAGAAAGATGTTGTAGTTTGTTTGTTTGGTCTTTAGCCTGAAGTTCAAGTCCAGAGCTTGAACAGAACTATTTGTTTGTTTTCTGGTTTTGGTGGTGTTTTTTTCTGAAGCGGGTGCCTGTGTTTTCTGTTTACCTGTGCTGGTTAAGCAAGTGCTAGCCATATGCCTGAAAACTATTTTGCACATGGATATTTATACCAACAATTTATGCTGTATTTGTTTGTCACTGTAAGGGAATGTCAGTCCTTTTGGTTTAATGTTGAGTCTCCAAAAATACTTTTATTTTCTTACCTGAAGACAATTATCTAGTAAAATCTGTGTAATGTTTTGCAAGCAGTTATCAGGCAATAACTTGATCATTTTAAAGTTGTTGTATCCAATGTTATTTCCCATGTCTTGCACAAGCTGTGGCTGACTCCAAACTCTGTCTAGCTGAGGTTCCTCTAAGCAGCCAGACCAGTCCTATCTGCCCACCAAGCTCATCGCTAAATGGTTTTTGAAAACTTCTTGCCGTTACAAATTTCACACAATGTGCTCACGTTGAGGTGTTGCCTCGTATTGCCACTGTCATCCAACAGCCTTTCTTACTGTGTAGTGTCAGCACCCTACCCTGATAAAGGGAAGTCTCTTTATGCTTTAAGGAGCTGGGAAAAATCAATACTATGCGCTGTATTTATTACACAAATGTTCACAAAGATACAATATCAAGAGTTCAATAAACAGTGTTTGATTGCAGAATGACTCTTTTTTTTTTTTAATGACGGTTCAAGTTGACAGTGTATTAGACTGCAGACTAAAATTTCTATCAGCTGCGGACAACCTCCTGCTTTCAGCGTGTGGACTGCACTGCTCCGCAGTTCTGTCTCCAGAGAGCTGCTGGTACGGCAGGGCTGTCGCTGAGTCAGCCCACAGTCTGCTTCTCAGGGCTGGCTTTGCTCCATTCCCGCTGTTTCTGTATGCTGTGGGAAAGGAAGGATGTTGAGCTCAGACGCCAGTGGTGAAGTTCCTAGAGCACCAGGTGCCCGTGTGGTCAATTGGCTATTTCTGAATAAGTGGAAGGGGTATGGGCCAGCCTCTGTTTCTGTGAGAAGGCAATGCCTTTGGGGAATTATGATGAAGCTATAATGTTAAAAGGTGTGTGAATTCAAGTGCAGGTGTGTGGGTGGTGGTCTGTGCATAAGGAGCACCTGGGAGAAACCAGAAGGTCTGGCTGTGTTATTTCAGAGCAGTGTGTTTGTGCTGCCACTCAGTGTCTTGGTTGATCTGATCAAGTTAAACCACAATGGGAGTGGTTTATATCCACTAGGCAAGCGAGTAAACCCCTCATCCCTTGTTTTTTGGTCCCCGTTTCCTTATGCGGTCAGTCCTTGCTCAGCCCTGCCCAAACAGCTTCAGCTCCTGTCAGCCAGTCCCACTGGGACGTTGTTCCATCTCACAGGGGGAAGGCTGGTGGGTGGAGAGGGGCAGGGGGGCTTCTTCTGCCTGCCTCGGGGCTGCAGCCAGCCCTGCCGCTGCTGTGGCATGAACGTGCTGGCTCATGCGTCTGCATGCCGGGTTTTCCTATAAGGGCACGGTTCATCCACCACCTCACATGCACACTGAGTATTCCCTCCTCAACTTTATCTTCTTACTCCCGATCCAGCGAGCTCTCCAGCAGCATGGGGTGGCTGAGACAGCAGGCAAACAATACACTAAACTTCCTCTACCTCACACCTTTTTGTGAGATTAGTTGAAATGCTGTCGTTGTTGGCAGCATTTGCAGATCGTTGCCCTTACCCTTACCTTTTAGCAGTCTACTCCAAGGCAGAAAGAATCCTGATGCCACAGTCTGATACACAGAAGGCCAATGTCACTCCCGGGCAAGGAAAGAGCGTTTCAGCAGAAAGGCCAAAGGCTAACCAGGCACGGAGAGCAGCAGGCACCACGGGGGATCAAGTTCCACCTGTAGCAGGCTAAAGGCATGCCTGCCCCTGCTGCTGCTCCTGCCGCTGGGCCAGAGTCCCAGTCACAAACGGGGAGCTGAACCAGTTAAATAATACCCTGACAAGGTAGATCAGGGTGGTTTTAGCTTTGCAGCTATTGAGAGAAATATCCAAAGCTCCTCAATGTGCCCCAAGGGTGTCCCGGGAGCAGCCGCCCCCAGGTTCAAGTGTTGCGTGCACCCTGTTTTTGCAGGAGGCAAGACCTTTCCTGACTGCTGAGGCAAAGCCTCATGGCACGGCCAGGACTGAACTGGCCCCCGCTGCGGGTGTCCCTCCTCATGCGTCACCGACGGAGGGGAAAATTACTGGGTACAGTTTGATGTACTGGCTCTGGAGATAAACAGAGGACTTCAGTCTAGAAAGCTATCTTACAGAAGCAATAAATTCCCTTGGGGGGAAAAAAAAAAAACAAAACACCAAAACAAAAAACCAAACAAACCAAAACCACCACCAACTCATATGTGTGTTGCCGATGGAAGCGCCACTACCTTTTGCCACTGCTGTGGTACACTCAAATGTGTTTGAGCTCTGTTTAGGAAATCCTCCTGAAGGCATTCTTTATCTGTACAGGCTTATTGGAAGTGGAGGTTTGGAGAGGGAAGTGGCGCTGTGCAGGCGTGCGGAGGCACGGCCCCTGCCAGGGCACACAGAGCCGGGCCTGCGCCAGAGGGCCGGGCCCACTGCTCGCAGGGTTAAATGCACGCAGAGGGGATGCTCTGTCTGCCTGTGGGCCCCACAGAGCCCCGGCCCTCTCCCGCAGTCCCTGCCGAGGCTGTGCTGCGTCCAGGCCCGTGCCCACCCTTGCACCCAGCCACCCACGCTGCCGTCCTGCCTTCTGGGGCCTCGGCTTGGCCTCAGAGCTGTGCACAGTGAGCTGCATTGCAGACCACGTCCAGCTGAAACGGAGCTTTCCCCCCACGCCGTGTTACCTCATCAGTGAAATCGTTTTTTTTGGTTCGGTTTTCTAGGTGTGGAATGGAGAGGGCGATGTATGATAGGGAGGGCTAGAAGCGGGGTGGGACGGAGGACTTCAGGCAGGAGTTGCTCAGCTGGCTATGGCCGCTGCATCCAACAGCGGCTCCTGCAAATCTGGAGTGTCCCCACTCCTTCCACAGGTTTGGGGGGGAACGATGGAGGAGGGCCACGTGTCATGGCTACGTACAACCACTTTGTTTGGTGCCAAATGCTGAGAGTCACCCAGCAGCTGTAGCGTTGGAGGCCAGTTAGCGAGGAGAGAGCTTGCAGGACCTGACCCGTGGTATGGCAATAAGAAGAACATCCAACTCACCTGCCACCACGTGTGCACCCCTACCTTAGTCTTAAGAAAAAAAATATACCCTTACTCAGGGGCAAATCCAAGTGCTGTTTACACTGCAGGTTACGCTCCCCTTTCAGTAGCTAAAAGTACACCATCGCTTCTTCAAACCAATGCACCTCCCTCTTACGCACCTGCCAACTCTCAGGCTTTGAAAAGCCACTGCCTCTTCTAGCAGTAACCAGCTGGCTTTGTATGCCCAAACAAACAGGGCAAGTGGCCTGCGTGCACCAACCGCCCCTGTATTACCTGCCTAGCGGGGCATGGAGCAGACACTCCGTGTCCATGGGGAAAAGGGAGTGAAGGCAGCGTGCTAATTCATCCCAGTGAGACCACTGCCTTTTGGACCCACCAAGACACGGGAACGTGCTGATCAGCCCCGTGGGGCAACCACAGCAGGCCTGACCTGCAAAGGGTGGGAAACCCAGTGTGTTTGGAGCTGCTCATGCCTTGGGTTCCTTCCAGTCTCTTCCTAAGAAAAACTGGCAGGTCTGCTCCTTGCCCACTGTCTCTCGGAGCATTGCTCTCCCTACAGCCGCCTGCAGTAGATGCACCATCAAAGGAGGCGCATGAGAGACACTGAAAACATCTGTGGGTTGTACAAGCAAATGCTGACCTCTCCTGAAACAGGTGGGTGCAAATGGCTTCCTCAGCGTAGTAACAAAAATGTAAGTTTTCTAACCTATTTCTGCCTTGGACTGTGACAGGCTTGAGTTAGCGCATCTTACATCAAGTATCTCGCTCCATCATACAGATCCCTGCTGAGGTGAGACCAGTCACGAAACATGGTGCTGCTCAGAAGTTGTCAGTGAGGTCTAGCCACAGGCAATTACGTTCTTTATCTGTTTCTGGTAAGACTTAAATTATGGAGAGGAGAGCTTCATAAATTCCATATTTTGGACAGATGGCACATGTCATGTTTCAGCTGGAATAGTTTTGCACTAAAATTTACACCATGTGTGTTGAACAGGTGAAAAATATGTCTAACAGCAAGTAGCATCCTCCTTTTTTCCCACTTGACCCATGTAATTCCGATAACAGGTATTCTGATCAGTATTCCAATTCACAGTCCTATTCAGCATGACCGGTAGAGGTTTTGACTCCATGTCCTCGCTGCAAAATGGCTTGCTCTGGTGGCCAAAGATCAAGCCAATTGCTGAGGAAAGCCTGTTCTGCCCTGAATTATCTGCTGGGCCTTCCCAGAACATTGCTAACCCTTCTCCTGACATCCTATCAAGCCTTGCCATGGAGCTTCAACTGCTTTAATGAAGCCATTTTGATTACTAAGTTACATGGGAGAGAAAAACATGGATTTCTTCCCACTTGGAACAGCAGAATGAGCAACATTTTAAAACGGGATTGTCTTCTCTAGGAGAAGAATTCACTGGAAGGATGGCTCTGTGGTCATGAACGATTTCTCCTCCTAAGCACTCAGAAGTTAAACATGACTGCTGCATCCCTCCCGACCCCGCCGCGATGGATACTGTGAAACTGTAAAGAGTCTTGACGATGATGCTTTAAAAGCAGAGGCCCTCTCCCTGTGCATGAACTTTCCCGTTACACCTTTGTGTGAGAGCCAGGAGCTGTCCCAGTGCTCTCAGCCACCTCCGTCGCTCCCTGTGCCCTCATCGCTTTTTATGGCCGGCTGGCCGGTTCTCTCTGGTTGTTGCTTCTCGGCCCGAGGACACTGACATTTAGTCAGCGAGATCCTGCAGGGTAAAAGCTGCAAGGTAGCTTCAGATAAAGAACAGGGCGGTGCAAGCCTGCTGTGGGATAAACAGCCGTGCAATGTGTTCTCATGTGTTTTTTCGACTTAGCAACTCTTAAACACAAGCACCGCAGAGCGGCAAGGTAAGATTAGGTACCCACAGGCCACATTTTTATTAGGTGCAATGGGCTGTGAAGTGCCTGGTGTGTCTGTGTGGTGTGGAAGCACAACAAGGGTGCCTGTGCAGACCCTAGCCAGCCCCCCACAGACCAGCTCCTCCTCTGCCCTTAACCCGGGCACAGGCAAAGCAGGAAAACCCGTGTCAAAACATCTGCCAACCTCACCTGCTGGGGGAAAACCCGACTGTGTGTATGCCCAAATGGCTGCTGATGCCAGAGTCCCACTGCATAGCAGTTCGGGGGGGGGGGGGGGTGGGCAAGCTACTTGAGCATTTGGATAAAATTTAGCTAACAGCCCAAATAACCTCGCCCAAATAAAAGGGCATGGGGAAATTCTTTCAAAGTCCCCAAACTTATCATTTAGATCTTTTCTGAAGAAAATGTTTCACTAAAAAAAAATTTTGTCCAACCAACTATTTGATTTCAAAATGATCTTCCATCTCTCCAAGTGCGTATCCAGATGTCTGTTTCATTTTAGGCTGAAAAGATCTCCATTTCTTGCAGTTTGGTCACTGCAGGAAAGAATCTTACTTTTTACTGTGTCTTCACTT